TGTGTTCACAGATGTCCCCATTTGGATTTGGTGTATGGCATTTACTACAACACCTAGGAGCTTTTGCCCTTTCACAAGACCCTAAAAAGCCAGTGCTTCCTAGCACTGGGCTAGACAATGAGATGAGCCAATACAGGCTATATGACTTCAAATAAGATAATATGTTCCTACCAACTGGCCTCCAGGAAAAATACTTAGAAGGAGAGGGTAGAATTTTGGTGGTAGTTTTGAAGGATGGCATATCCATTTTAAGCATGAAATAAAAGAATAAAACAGGGGATGAGTTAGACATAAGCTGCTCAGTTGAATGCTCCCTTCCCTCTCCCCAGAGCTATTACTGCTAATTTCCTGAAGAAAGAGTTCTATCCAGAACCATGTAATTAAAATAAATACCATTTATATGACCTGTAAGCTATTTATAAAAGCCAGTAATCCTAAAAAGTAGAATATCTGTATTAAAATTTGAAATCAATCAATGAGTAACATTTACAGATATAAACAATGAACCTTTTTAAAACTAATCCAGCATAGAGTCCTCATTTTATTATTTTTGTTTGAGAAGTTTGTGATCTGCAACGGCATTCTGGCTTTTGCTTTTTCTTCTTAAAAGTAATCAAAGCTGTCCCATAGCCTTCTTGGAATTGTAACATTTTGGAAGAGGCTCCCATTTTAGCCTACAAGGTTATGATGTGCTGCAATAACATGGGACAGCAGCCATTAAAACAAGCCACATCTGGCAACTCTCTCTGTAACCCAGAGCAAAGAAAGCTATGTCCCAATTCTGTGGTATTGCAAAGAGCCCTTTATTCTCCTCAGAGTTATTTCCATCTATAAGCCTCCACATAAATGCACTTTTGGCAGCTTGTCTGAGCTTTCTCAATTGGCAGTCTGATTATTCGCTTGCGTTCTATTTTTTCCCTCAAATTATTCTGAGTCACATCCTTATACAGACAGTTGAGATTCTAAATGGTACAACTCATGCACTAGTCCCACGGGGCAAGGAAAAAAAATCACATTTCTAGGGTTTGAAATCATGGGGAACAGAACTTTTGATTCCTCTCCTTAAATTATCTTTCCAAGTGGTCACAAGCACAAAAAGTCAGATCTGTTAGATTTTTATAGTACACAACTTGACTTATGACCATAACTGAGCCCAACATTTCTGTTGCTGAGCGAGACAGTTGTTAAGTGAGTTTTGCCCCATTTTATGACCTTTCTTGCCAGAGTTGTTAAGTGAATCACTGCAGTTAAGTTAGTAACACGGTTGTTAAGTGAATCTGGTTTCCCCATTGACTCTGCTTATAAGAAGTCGCAAAAGGTGATCACATGACCCCAGGACATTACAAACGTCATAAAAATGAGTCAGCTGCCAAGCGTCCAAATTTTGATCACAGGACCATGGGAATCCTGCAACTGTCATAAGTGTAAAAAATGGTCATAAGTCACTTTTTTTCAGTGCTGTTGTAACTTTGAGCGGTCACTAAATGAACCGTTGTAAGTCAAGGACCACCTGTATGGTAATTCTTGTTCATTGCAAAGTGCAGTTCAGGGCCAAAATAGATACACAAAGAGAATTCTAGGCAAGACTAACTGAGATCCTGAGGTGAAGACAAATTAAGGAACGTAGACATTTATCTAAAATGCTTTGGCAGGTCCTGCACTGAGCAAGTTTGATGTAGCAGCTAAGACACCAGGCTAGGGGCCTGGAGACTCTGAGTTCTAATCTCCCGCTTTAGGCATGAAAGCCAGCTGGGGGACTTTGGGCCAGTCGCTCACTCCAAGCCCAACCCAACCCACCTCACAGGATTGTTGTTGTGGAGAAAATAGAAGGAAGAAGGAGTATTAGGTACGTTCGCCACCTTGAGTTACTTTTAAAAATAATTAATGCGGGATTTTAAAAAAAATCTAAAATAAAAAATTTAAAAATGAATGATCTGAGGCCCCTTCCATCAGGATGAATTCTCTGATCGTCTTTTTCCCAGGCTATTATCTTACATTTCATACACACAGTATGAGATGGGCCAGCTGCTGGCCCCGTCTTGGTAACCTCCCTCCATGCTGCATACTCCTTTAAGACAGTTTGTGAGAACGGTAGTGCAGAAAGAGTACAAGCCTCCCACAGTATGAGAATATATTCTGTCACCAGTGTCCTGGGGCCATATAGAGCTATTTGGGGATAGCTCCTATTATCCCCATCCAGCATCACCATTATCCATGCACAGTTATGGGATGATTGAAAGGAAGAAAAAAAATTTATAGTGCGAGGTGATCCAGGTTGTTTGCTCTGAATTGGAAAGGATGCTTATATAAAACAGGGAGATATAATTATCGCATTTGTTTCCAGTTGGTTTTTTTCTCATGGGATTTTTCTGCTGTCCCTTAAATGCCTGCATAGCAAGTTACCCCCCCCCCAGGCATGCATGTATAGAAAAGCATCACCTGTTGAATATTTGCTTGTCAGAAAAATGCCAGAACAGATTACATCAAGGGCCTATTAAACCAGAATCTTATTCTACACTGATAATTTCTGTCTCCTAGAAAACGGTATTCGACGGTAAGCTGATTCTAATATATTATGTAAAGCTACCAGAATCACTAATCAGCAAAAAAGTTACTTTCCATAAATTTAAAATCATCTGGATTATGGCTGCTGTATTCTTTTTTTAACTGGTTCAAACGTGACATTAAGTCATGCTTTTTAAAATTTACATGCAGTATGTTTCTGGTCAACTGTGATTTATTCAACAAACATATTTAAGCAAAGTATGACTTAGTGTATTATGCAAATAGTCTTTTGTTTACTCCTCCCATCTATAAACTATATTTGATGTCCGCAGATTATGCTATACTTACTCTGATCTTTACACCAGACATAGGTTTGGTTCACATCACATCCAAAGCTGCAGTGAAGTTTGTTTGGCTTTGGTTTAGCACATTATTTTAATCCAACTATTATTGTTTGTCAGAAATAATTTATGTGTGTCGTATGTGAACCAATCTAATTGTGATATACAGTACTTTATAAAATAAGCTTCAATAAGCTATATTTTAATGGGTCCTATAAACACAACGTGACCTCTTTTGTAGATGCTTAAATCACATCTTTTGTGTTTTTCTGTCTCACAAACATTTTGCAGGCACTGTGTAAATACAGAATGTGAAACGGGGACAGAAAGGCCAAGTGGAGCGGTAGCTTTTTTTCTACAGTACTACTCTCTGTTTAAAATAGCTCTGACCCTGTCTAGGGCTTTTCAGATGTCAGTTATTTTTTAAACTGTAAGGAATAAAATGCTGCTAGCAGAACAGGTTATCTGAAATGGTACAGGGTTTCCTGAGCAGAGGGTTGGACTAGAATCGTGATGGCAAACCTATGGCACGCATGCCACAGCTGGCACCCAGAGCCCTCTCTGCGGGCATGCGAGCCGTCGCCCAGGTCACGTCTACTGCACATGCATGCACGCCTCCCGCTGGCCAGCTGATTTTCAGGATGCACAGGGGTAGGGCGCATGTGGGAGACACACGTACATGCCCAGGGGGTCACACACATATCTGTGGGGAGGAGTGGCATGTGTGTTCCAGAAGTGTGGAAACGGACTTGTTTCCAGGCTCCAGAGCCTGTGGGGGGCATTTTTGCCCTCCCAGAGGATCGAGGAAAGCCTATGGAGCCTGGGAAGGACAAAAACGGCCCCCCATGGTGCAGGTTGCTAAAAAAATTTAATCCCACCCCTCGCGCGCATGCGCGGGTGGCGGTGGTCATGTGGGGAGGTTGCATGAGCAGGCATGGGGGGCATGGGGGGTCATGTGTGCATGTGCGGTGGGGCACCTATTGCATTATGGGTGCCAGCTGCCGGCACACGTGCACTGTCGCATGCGTGCACACATGCTTTTGGCACCCGAAGAGAAAAAGGCTAGCCATCACTGGACTAGAAGATCTCCAAGGTCCCTTCCAACTCTTTTATTATTCTAGTCTAGTCTAGTCTAGCCTGTAGTCTCCAGTCTCCAATGAGAGTTGATCAAAAAATATAATGTTTTGTGTGACTACCATCTTATTGTATCCCGAAAGGCAAGACTGAATCCAAACTTCCAGGAATGCATACAGAGCCATCGCATTCTGTATACAAACAATACACTTATTTCTTCAACTGTCTCCTGGCATATTCAACACATCCTTGCCTCCATTCAGGCAGCTTATTGCACAAGAGAGTAAATGAGCAGTTTTCACCCTTAACACAAATTTCCAGATTTATTCCAGTCCTGAATTTTCCCCTTTGTACATTTTACCTTATTTCTTCTCTCACTTTTTTTTCCCTTTCATTCCCGTTATTATTTTGTATATTCTCCATAGGAACAAATATATATATTTCTGCATCGGTTTGATATTTTCCCCATCACCTTGAACAAGCTTTTCGGTTCATCCCGTATCATTCCCCCCCTGCCCCCCGGTTATAAACTCTTAAATAAACGTAGCTGTGGATTATGAATACTTTTGAATCTCAAAAACGCATTTTAAAATGCATTGCACTACACGTCTTGGATTGACAGTAATACTGTATAGGTTTACAGGCAGGGATGGATTATAGGAGTTTCTCTGCCTTCCAGATCCTTCGTTGGCTGTTCCACTAATCCAGCCGCTTCCTTTGTACAAGGGCATATATAATGAGCAATATATAATGAGATCTGGCAAACCAGAACTGCACATTCTCTAGCGCTCATTTGGAAAACGAAGGCATTTCGAAATGCTGCGTTCATTGCACACACGCGCGTCACGTGAAATCTGACATTATCGTCGGGCAAGCACTTTAAAAAAAAAAAAAAACCAGAAAAACAAAAATCCCCCTCACCCCCAGCTGCTTTTGTTCCGAGCCCTGGGAGAGAAGGAAAGAGGGAAAAAAAAAAAAAAAAAACACCAAACCCACCTTTATGCAAACTCAGCACAGAGGGAGGAGGGGAAAGGGAGCTGGGCGGTCCCGAAGTTCCAGGAAGGCGCAGGCGCGTCAGCTCCAAGGCCTTTGGGCACGCGCAGGAAGCCATGTGTCCCGTTTGCTAAGCTTCCCGACTTTGGCGGAGGTGCTTTTGGTGAAAGCCTTTGCCGTTGAGAGGCTCCCCCGAGGGGGGGGAAAAACCTGAACAAGTAAGAGAATCTGGGGGTGGAGGAGAGCAGAATAAGAGGGGTGGGGGGGGGGAAAGAACCCTCGTGATGCTGGCCCAGAATGGCATCGAAAACGTGATTACATTATAAGCGGGGTGGCATGTCAAGGCAAGTTTACTACACGAAAAATTCAGCTTTAGCTAGAGGAGGGGAACGGGTACCTGTGCCGTGCCTAAAGTGGAACAAATGCAATGGATAAAGATGATGATGATGATGATGATGATGATGATAATAATAATAATACTTAGCACCAGTCAATCGTATTTGTGATGCATTTTTGAATGTCCAGAAGACTTGAGTTTCATGTTTAATGAATAAAGTAAATAATAATAATAAGAAAAATAATAATAAGAAAAATAATAATAAGAAGAAAAAAGTATGGTTCATTGACATTGCAATACCTGGTGATGCACCGATTGAAGATAAGCAGCAAGAAAAAACCACAAAGTACCGGGACTTGCAAATTGAAGTTGAGCAACTATGGAAAAAGAAATTGTGTGTTGTCCTAGATTGTAATTGGAGCCCTTGGAGCAATATCCAAAGGGCTACCCCGCTACTTAGAAATTCTAAATTTACCGGACTTGAACATTTTGACTCTACAAAAAACCACCTTACTCGGAACAGCTTACATCCTCCGACGATACCTTAACAGTTCCTAGGTCCTTGGTTAGGGCTCGAGCTGCTGAGCTATTAACCAGCCTCAAAGGCTGTGAATCTTATCAAAGATTAAATAATAATAATAATAATAATAATAATAATAATAATAATAATAATAATAATACTTGGAACATCGTATATTTTAAGAAAGTACTTGGTTGATACCTAGGACACTGGCAGCAACCCGTATCAACTAATAGCACCAGTCAGTGGTATTTGCGAGGCATTTTTAAATGTTCAGTGGACTGAGTTTCATGTTTAATGAATAAAAGAGATAATAATAATAAGAATAACAACAACAGCAACAATAATAATACCATAAACGGGATCTTAGTCTGTGGAGATTCTCAGTCATACAGGTAGGTCATGGTTGTCCCAAAGGTGCTTTTTTTTCTCGAGAGGCTGAAGAAGCTTCTTGGATGAGAAGCAAAATGTCTTCAAAGAAAACCCAGAAAGTCCAGTTGCCTCTTGGGGAAGAAAATAAAACTTTTGGGACAAACGGGATCTTTGTAGACCTCAGTGGTCAGGACTGATAGTCCAACACGTGAATATTAGTTGGAGAAAGCAGGACAATCTCAGAAAGAATTACCATTCAATTCTTTTGCTTTTTATAAGTTGAGTGGAAGATTCCAGAGGGAGGGGGAGGGGAGGGATTTGCTATCTTTGATCATGATGGCTCTTTGAAAATAAGATTTGTGTACTCTACGTGGCCTTTATTCTCCCATTCATATCTTGTTTTTTCTCTGAGACCTTAAGGTAACAGATACAGATTTATAAAGTAAATTGCGACTGTGATTAAATCTTATCAGCCGGTGGGAATTTGAATCAAGAAATTTAAATCCTCCATCCAAGTCTAACACTTTCATCAAGGTGCTGCTACAGGTAGTCCTCGACTTACGACCGCAATTGAGCCCAAACTTTCCATTGCTAAGCAAGGCAGTTCTTAAGTGAGTTTTGCCCCATGTTGCAACCTTTCTTGCTACAGTTGTTAAGTGAATCACAACAGTTGTTAGTAAGGTGGTTGTTAAATGAATCTGGCTTCCCCATTGACTGCTTGTCAGAAGGTTGCAAAAGGGGATCACATGATCCCGGGACACTGCAACCTTTATAAATACATGCCAGTTGTGAAGCATCCAAATTTTGATCATATGACCACAGGGATTGCTGCAGTGGTCATAAGTAAGAAAAACAGTTGTATGTCACTTTTTTCAGAGATGTAACTTTGAACATTTATTAAACAAATGGTTATAAGTTGAAGAGTACCTGTAGAGTCTTCTCAATTTCTACCATATGTCCCTCAAAGATCATAGAATGTCTTGGGTTTTTTTCTGGAGCTTACATGTGTCAGTATATTCCACCCATTTCCTTCTGGATATATTGGTCACTAGATTGTCAAGAGTGAAACATAGACAGTTTCATGCCTCTTTGTTGCAACTTGTCATTAGAGTAAGGGAGGGGGATATGGACTACCAATGGGTTAATTTGGAGAAACAAAACTTCTGCAGTTCCATGGAAGTTTTAATTTGGATACTCAAGCTGGATGTTGACATAGATCCCATTACTTCACGTGGCAGAGACAGTACTGAAGGATTATGACCACTTGAAAACACAGGGTGTGAAAAGGTAATTTAGGTTTATAGCCTTACACCATTGGCTGTGTTTCACATCACACTAAACAATGATTTATGTAGCATAGTGGCTGAATTCATGTAGTGCATTATGCCAAAATTAAATGTAATTTATTAAACTGATATACTGCCCAACTCACAGTGATTCTGGACAGCTTTCAGTTGTTATAATTTAGGATATTGTTAGCAATCTACTCTATTCATTTGATGAGAAAACTTCATAGACTAACTTTTCTCTCTTTTCCCAGGTCTTGTTAGAAAGGAGTCAAAAGGGGATTCAAAAACTAATGTTGGGAAGAAAAAGAGATTCCTGCTCCTCTACCTACATTTAGCATCATGACCCGCCATAGTAAATATTTGCTTGAATTATTCCAATCTAATTGGAATTCTAAATGAGTAATCATGTTTGCTTATCTCTGATTCCCCCTTTTTTCTCTTTTGCAGAACAGAAAAAGTCTAGTAAGAAATCCAAACATAGCAAGGTAAGACAGAATCTTGGGGAAAAAAATTGTGGTAGAGATAACAGCGGAATTGATGGAAGAGCAGGAAAAGCCTTTGAATTTGATAGTGGAATGATTGTTGGCTATATTAGTGAAGCAGAATTGTTTAAATGTTTAATGAAGCAGAATTGTTTTAACACAGAATTTGGGTGGTGATTCAAAATGTAACCGATGTATCAGTATGCTTCCATATGGAATTTTGATCATGCAAGTTGCCAATGATACGTTACCTTCCACTCGTAAGTGTTTTTCCTATTAGAGTATCAATTCTCCTCTGAGTACAGCTTTCAGATAAGAAAACATAAAATATTCTTTAGCAAAGGGAAAAGGGTCAAAATAGTATCAGCTGGAAAAGCAGGGATCTATTGTTGTTCTCAGATGTGATGAACATATGTTGTAACTTTATGTCAGCAATCAAAACCAGTGCAGTCTTTCTTCCTTTCATAGAAAAAGGATGCAAAATCACGTAGGAAAAAAGATTCAGGAGTACCTCAACTGTCACGCTTCAAAGAACATGTCAAAAAGGAACTGGCCCTAAAAGAGAAAAGGGTAAGCGTTAACCATGTGGGAAAATAGAGGCAGAGGTGGGATTTTTAGATAGCTGAATTAATTTCTCTGCTCAGGGCTACGGAGTTTGGGATGGCATAGGACTGGTACCCGATACTGGATCTATGAGACCTGTGCAGCAGGATTGCTAGCACCCCCTTATTTTAAGATTATATCCATATAACTAGGTGAAAGAAATGCAGGAGCGGCAACAAATGGCACGACAGAAAGAAATTGGCCGATTCCGGAGCCTGGAAGGTTTGCAGAAGGATGCCTTGCACAGACAGCAACGCTTTGAGCAGAAGGTAACGAATTTAGGCTGGTAATCTTCCCCATGGCATATATTATGACCAAGGCCCAAGTAGTGATTACCAAACACAATTCAGTCCTCAACAAACTTATTTTATTAAAACAGCTGAGAATTAATTCATTCTCAGCTTAGAGAACAAAACAAAATTCTTAATAACCAGTCCGTCAGCCTTATCACCAACCTTTGATGTCTTTGGCAACCTGCCAAAGGTTTTTCTTGGCAAAACCCCCAACGTTGTTGCTGCTCTTTTAAGCCTTATGGGAGTGGCCAATCATCTCCTGGCCTTACTCCCAAGTTGTCCTTTTTTCTTCAGCTGCTCTTGCCTTCTGGCAACTCTTTGCATGCGTGCACTAGGAACAGGCTCCTCCTGTTCCTCTGCCTCTCTGCTGTCAGCTTCTGGAGGCTCTCGAGTCCACACATAACTCCCAGATGGCCCTGGCCCCATCTCTGCCTCCGACGCAGAGCCCTCGTCCAGGCCTTCCCTAGCCTCCAGGACTGGCCCATTGTCCTCCCCAGCCTCCTCACTGTCCGACTCCGCTGCCAGGTCTGCAGGCTGCTGGCGGACCACAACACATATATCCAATCCAGTTGCAGGAAATATGGTTTGTCTATGCAGCTTTTATAGAAGTTTTGTTCGTCCACTTCTTCTAGCAGTTCTTTTAAGCAGCTCAAATATATTGGTAGAGATATTCTTTATTTGTAGAGATTTCTGTAATTGGTTAGACAAATGCTTATTTAAGTAGGAAAGAAGTACATGAAAATAATTATGGGAATCCCGGTTTTAGTTCTGGATAGATTTTTGATCATTCATATTGGATTTCTCACAAAGCAGACTATCGGTGGTCTATTTGGTGACACATCCAAACGAGCTCGATAGGATTCAGTTCTTATTCAAAGAGATTATAGTCTCAAGTGAATGAATTGTGTTGCAATTTTCCTCTCATTCATTTTTACAAAAAGCCCAATACCAATTATTTCTACAAAAAGGCATAAAAGAAATCAGCTACTGAGTTGAAATTTCCCTCTCTATCTGGCTTTCCCCCACCCCCACTCCAAAAAGAAAATTTTTCAAGGTACCTGAGGGCTGTGGACTTGCTGTTTGCTAAGTTACAACAGACATCATAGGAGGAGAACTGTATTGGTCTAGGATGGCAAAAAAATAATAATACTCTGATAACGTCTTTTCCAACTAACAATTTTGATTAAAAGGTATAAGCTTTTGTGAACGTCATCAGATGCATAGAGTGACTAGGCATGCCTTTTAATCAAAGTAGTGAGTCTGAAAAAGTGTCACCAGATTTTTAATTTTAAGTTAGAGCATGTCTTTACCCCATTTTAAGCCGGAGGGTGGAATTGGTTTAAAAATGACAATGAGTTAATGATTCTTAATCTCTCAGTGACATAGAATGCGTATAATATACTTATATTATAAATTATATATTTTATATAATATTTATAATATTTTATATATATATTATATTTATATTATATAAATATAAAAACAAGCAATTTTAAAATGTCACGATATTCTAAAATATCATTAGTTACGAATTGTTTTCATAACTAATGATATTTTAGAATATCGTGACATTTTAAATTTGCTTGTTGATCTATTTGTTTCATGTTTCCTTTTGCACTTATTCATCTACATTTTTCAAAAAATTTAATAAAAAAAGATATTTAAAAAGGGAAATAATGATGAATGGCTTGCTTGTCTGTAAACTTTGTCTAAGAGAACAGCCTGGAGTTCCAGATCAATAAAACTTTTTATTTAAAAAAAGTGTATCAGGAAAACAGTAGATGGGAAAGCATGATATTTCAAGGAGAGATTGCAAAATTCAAAGGGTGCAAAGCACAGGTATATTTTATGGGGGAATGATTAAATACATAGTTCTGTTTTCTAAATCACTTTAAAATGATGTTCTTGGAGAACAGTGCTGCATTTTAAAAGGCTCTTATGGAAGATTTTATTCTGTTTATATACAACTTGAGTAAAAATGCCTCCCCCTAGTAGGAAATGAATTTCTTGTACAGCAGCAATCAAATAATAGCTATTTTGTAGGCAGCAGAAATGCACCTATGATGTATAGTCTCACATTATGAAATTAAGGGTACCACAACTACTCTATTTTCCAGTTGGATAGCATGCAAGTGTGAGTAGATAAATAGGTACCATGTTCCATGCGCCATAGTCATGCCAGGCCACATGACCATGGAAGAATCTTCAGACAATGCTGGCTCCTTTGGCTAGGAAACAGAGATGAGCACCACCCCCTAGAGTCAGACACAATTGAACAATGGAAACTTTTACCTTTACCTTTTACCTGTTTTCTAACTATGAGAACCTATTCTGTGCTATGTGTCTTAGTGGAACTTTAATTCTATCCCCTTGACCATGTGCATAACCATCTTCTTCCCACAGGAGAGGGATCTGAAGCAATTGGCCAAACATGCCCTGCTGGAAAAAGACAGCTCCTGCAAGGCGTATTACAAAGAGTTCAGGAAGGTCAGTGAAGACTGAAGTGACTTGACGGATGTGACTTAGCACCAAGAAAAATAGAGCTGCAGATGAGGAGGCTTCTGTTGGGTTGGGCTGGATCAGTGTTGGACATAATGGCCTCCAGTTCTTTGCTCTCTCCAGGTAATTGAAGCAGCCGATGTGATCTTGGAAGTCCTTGATGCTCGGGATCCTCAAGGTTGCCGATGCCCCCAGGTTGAAGAGGCAGTGGTGCAGGCTGGAACCAACAAGAGATTGGTTTTGGTGTTGAATAAAATAGGTAAGTAGCTGTCCTAAGTTCTTTGTGGAAAGGAAGTGAAGCCGTATGTGATTCAAGAATATGAGATCACGCCTTTTCTTACTAGGAGTTTCTCTTTACAAATTCAAATTCTGCACCGAGGGAATCAAGAAAACATATTTGAAATAATGCCGCTCTCCTTCTCTGGAGACTCAGGGCGGCTTACAATGTGCTAAGCAATAGCCTTCATCCTTTTGTATAGTTATACAAAGTCAGCTTTTTGCCCCCATAACTGGGTCCTCAATTTACCTACCTTAGAAAGGATGGAAGGCTGAGTCAGCCTTGAGCCTGGCGAGAGTCGAACCTGCAGTAATTGCAGGCAGCTGGTCTTAATAACAGGGTGCTTTAGACCACTGTACTACCAAGGCTTTGATTCAGAATCATTGCAATCATGACTTAATTCAGGGTTTGGGTGGCAGAGGGTAGGGGAAAAAGTCACTCAAAGGTTTGCATTTGGCCTCAATTAGCTGTAGAAGATTTTTTTTTTATGCTTTTTGTTCATGATTCATTCATTCACAATGACAGTTAAGACAGATAGGTGATGAGGTATTGATTTTCTTTCTATGGTTATTGGATAAGTGACCTGGATATTCTATTCCATATTAGTAATATTGACTGTTTGAGTAGAAGGTGGTCAAGGTTATTTTGAAATCAGCTTGTGTCTGGGGAATTGGAGATGTTATTGCTTTAGCCTTCTGGGTGATCTATCTGCAGACCATAAAAGGGTTACAGTTTTGAAACATACGATTTTAAAAGGTAACTTGTGTGCCTCTGGCATACAAAAGAATAGGTGTTGCCCCAGTGAACTGGCACCAGAGTGATTTTTTTAAAGGACTCCTTCACTTTTTCAATCTGTTCCTGATCCAGATCTGGTATCTAAAGAGATCGTTGCAAAATGGCTGAAGTATCTGAGGAATGAATTTCCTACAGTGGCCTTTAAATCCTCCACTCAGCAACAGAGCAAAAACCTGGTAGGTGATGGATGGCGGCAATGGATTAATGATATTTTACCTCTAAAATATTATTTTTGTATTGGGAAATCACTTTGAGAACAGGGTGGAGATGGGCAACCTGCTACAACATCCCTTGCCAGCGTCCATGCATCCCAACATTAAATTAAAAACTCCTGACATATAGCAAGAATGTAAAACTCACATAAGACTGCCAAAACTTAGCAAGATTTCTGGTGAGATAGCCCAGATCTTTCATGGTTTAGGAGTCTTGTGCAAATCTGGGGGATAAGAAATATTTGTTTTATGACATTTATACTAAACAAATATTAATGTATTTTAATGTTATATTTCATTTTCTTTTGGTAAAGTACTGTATAAAGTGTATTAGTTTGGCCCTTCCTTTGAATGTGATCTATATGTGCCCCCCCCTTAAGAGTTGGCTATTGTAGAAGAGGTTAAGCAGCCCACCATATTCTGATAGACTAGATTTGGCTGTGGTGGCAGTCCAATACCTGGTCTTTATTCAGTGAGATCTAGGTGGCAGAAAGAGACTGGTAGGTTCTGCGAGATGGGAAACACAGATTAAGCACAGATTAAACACGGAAAAAGACTTTGTAATAGTTGGGAACATTTGAAGATTGGGACATCAAAAGTAAGAGCCAGGGACATTACGCAATAATTCCTTTCTCCCTTTTAGCAACGGAGCCATGTCTCAGTAACTCGAGCATCAAGTGACTTACTAGGCAGTGCAGCCTGTGTTGGGGCAGATTGCCTCATGAAGGTGCTTGCAAACTATTGCCGGAATCAGGATGTCAGGACAACAATCACCGTTGGAGTTGTGGGTATGTTACGTGCCTCTATTTGAGGGGTGGACAAAGTGAAAGAACATCTTTCCACAATATGACACCTTTCAAAATGAGGAAGGTGCAGCTCCTGGAATTCCTGCATAAGATGAGAATTCTGGGAATTGTAGTCATAGGATATCTGAAGTGTGTCAAAATGGGGGTAAGTTAGCTTACTGTCTTCCTTGCCTTGTCTGTCTCCAGCTGACCCGATAGGGCAAATTGGGAAATGTTTCCCATTTTTGCTTTGCAGTAGTTAAATAGAATCCTAGCAGCTATCTTTCCAATGGAGGAGGGACTTTGGCCTTGAATGAAAGCATTAACCCATCTATCATTCTGGGAGTTGAAGCCAGGAGATAGCTGGGCCATAATTCAAACAAGGAAGAATCCTAGCTGGGGAAGTGATGTGACCCACAAATAGCACTAGCACTTAGACTTATATACTTCATAGCACTTTTCAGCCCTCTCTAAGTGACTTGCAGAGTCAGCATATTGCCCCCAACCATCTAGGTCCTCATTTTATTGATCTTAGAAGGATGGAAGGCTGAGACAACCTTGAGCCAGTCAGGATCGAACTCCGGGCAGTGGGCAGAATTAGCCTGCAGTACTGCATTCTAACCACTGCGCCACCACGGCTCTTATCATGAGAGGAAAGAAAGAGGCAGGTGAGGGAAGATTTAGATCCCATAGTCCTCAACCTCCTTGGAACCTTTTCACCAGCCTTCACCAACTGCAGAGATTGATGACTTGAAGTTACAGACTTGGAAGTGCCCATTTTGGGGAAGATTCTTTTAGGTAGTTGGGGGTGGTAGATGTGAACCCTACCAGCTTTTCTTTTGCCTTTTAGTCCAGAGGAAAAAGGTGGTGGTGGGGTTACTGGTTATGCTGTCTTTTCTTGTGTAGAATGCAAAGGAAACAGTTTAGTGGAAGGTAGCAGTGACTTGTGTGGGAGCAGTCACCAGAATGGAAATGTGCTTGCTGATGGGTTGCCTGTCTCTATATCCCTGACTGCAGGCTTCCCAAATGTTGGCAAAAGCAGCTTGATCAACAGCTTGAAGAGGAGCCGAGCTTGCAATACTGGTGCCACTCCTGGCATCACCAAGTATGTGCCCAAGCTGAGGTGCTAATTAGAAGTGAGGCATCAGATCTGAAGTGCTGGGTAGTCAACCGAGTAGTTTCACTTCTTTTCATTTTAAATCAAGGAATGCTACAGGAGGTCTGTGGTCCTGCTTATATAAGAGAGAGAAAAATTCACGGATTCCCTTATGCTTTTATCTCCCAGTCATAGTAAAGATAGTTTTCCCTTTGATAACATCGAGCAAAACTGGATGTACTTGACATGAGTGACAGTGCCTAGTTGGATTTAGTTGGGTTAGCATATAATTTTGGGCATAGTAGGTCAGAGAAGGTTTGGGGTTATGAAATAAAAAGCATTAACTTCTGTACAAGACGTAGAGTATTTTGTTCACTACTTGATATATTGTTCTAATCCATAAGATGATTTAATTCATCACTTGAACCTTTCAAGAAGAGACTGGACAGCCATCTGTCAGAAATGGTACAGGGTCTCCTGCTTGAGCAGGGGGTTGGACTAGATGACCTACAAGGTTCCTTTCAACTCTGTTATTCTATTCTAATTTGTGTTTATTCAGCATTTACCTTTACCAGGTGTAAATTATACTTTGTGACTTAGAACATGTGAATTGAACCAATAGTGTGGTTGAATAAATAACTCCTGATAAAGCAATATCATGTGTGAACTTAGCCACTTTCTGCCCATTAGTTTATTTTAACCTACTTTCCCTAGTTTTGAATTGGCTTAGATTAACTTTATATTTACATTCCCCAAAAAAAGAAATAGAAAAAAACCCCCACAAGTCTCAAAGCACATATGCATTTGAAATAATGATTCTTGAAAAGACAGTTGCCTGGCCAGCCTTCTTAAAAATATCTGTTGATTAAACAGGTTTACCATCTTCCCCTCCCTACCAACCCCTTTTCTCCTGAAGCTCGGAAGAGATGCAGATTGATAAAAGTTATTGAAGATAAACATTCCAGGAAGGGAGTGGCATTATGTAAGGACTGTTGTGAGAAAGAAATTATCTGCCATCCTAGAAGAAGTCTAAAATTTTAATTTCTGGTCTGGTTGTTTTAGCTTTGGGACAACAAAGAAATATAAAATGAAGTTTTAGAAAATTAACTTTATAGGCAGAAAGGTTGGCATTTGAAGTGATTGCTCTCATTTATTTATCCCTTCCTCCCCCTCCTCTTTAGGTCTCTGCAAGAAGTGCAGCTGGACAAGCACATAAAACTCCTAGATTGTCCAGGGATTGTCATGGCTTCTCCCACTTCAGATGCAGCCATGATCCTGCGAAACTGCATCAGGATAGAACAACTGGCGGACCCTGTGAGTCCAGTGGAGGCCATCTTGAAACGATGCAACAAGCAGCAGGTATGGGTGGTCTTGAAAGAATGAACAGAGTACGTGGAGGAGAATAATCTGGAAAATTATGAAGGTGGGGCTTGAGAATCCCAGGTTCTTTTCAGAGACCACAAAAAGCTGAGAGCAAAAATAATGGTTCTCAGATAGAGAACTATACATTTAAAGACTTTTAGTAATGCTAATTTGGATGAAGCTCCTTTTCCTCTTGAAATCACATTGAAAAAGGATGAATCTGCTTGGTAAATCTGCTTGATAAATGACACATCTTCAAAAGGACTTTTTGCCAAGAATCTTAATTTGGGTTCTTTAAATTGTTTCACACAACACACTAATACATGGTTGTTTGGTTTGTGGTTCAGTATGTTGGGCAATCTCAAGCAATGGGATATATTCACTAAATCATGGTTCAATTAGACCTGAATCAACAAGTGGGGGAATGCAAGCTTTAAATTGTGTTACTTTTGCTGCAAAATATGATCCTATTGTATGGAAGTTTTTAAAAAAAACAGCAGTAGGCATTAAGTGGCTCATTCAATGTTTAATTGGGAAACACATGCATATTATTGGCATTTTAATAGAAAAGATATGTGGCAGATAACAATTTAGCAGAGGCGTGCATTTTTAGGAGGACATACTGTTCTTGTGGCAAGTACACCAGCTAGGTTTTTCTTAACATAGTTTCTTTGATACATATGTAGCTTTACACATATTTTGGAGGTTTTTAAATGTATCAATCAGGAAAGCTTTTGCCCACCAAAATTTGTACTTGAAATGGATATTATTCAGGTCTACGTGTGTATTCAGAAATCAGCTTCACTGAACTCTTGGTACTTCTTCCTAAAGTAAATAGATTTATAGAACTGCAGCCTCAATTGATTAGCTCTAGCAAAATGGTAACCGCCCCGCTTTTAAAAAATGATTAGAAAATAATTAAACCCCATTTTTGTTTGGGTTGATTTGGTTCTGGCAGGTTTCAGAAATCACCCACTGAAATTTTATAGCAGTATCTGAAATGCAATTATTTCTGATTTGTGGGTAGAGGGAAGAAGATGGTATCATATTGTTCCCCTGCCCAGTGTAGTCTTTGCCTGATAAGTAACTAAATAATAAGTCCAGCTGCTAAAAACCTGACCTCTCTCTGAGATGTAAGTAAATAGAACGGGCAGGTTGGATAAGAAAACTTCAATCGGCTTCTAATTCTCATCTCTTTCTTCTCCCTAAATTTCCTCTACCTAAAGATTATGCAGCATTTCAGTGTGCCAGATTTTCAGAACACCATGGAGTTCTTGGCGTATTTGGCCAAGCGACAGGGCAAGCTGAAAAAAGGAGGAATACCAGACCATGAGAAGGCTGCCAAAGCAGTGCTAAATGACTGGACGAGGTGAGTGGAAGATAGGATCCTTTTTTAAAAAGAACAAAGTTCTTGAGCTTTTTGCAGGAACTGTCTTTGATGTAAGCCTCTTTCTTCCTTTCTCTTTATCTTACTCACCTGGCAGCTCTAAATCAAGTGGGAATTGAAATCAGGAAAAGAAGAAAATAATAGGAACTACTGCAAAAGTGTTGGTGGGGAGTGGGTGGTAGGAAGCTTTTCCTATAAAGCTTGGGTCAACAACATGGCCATCCCTTCCCCATGATGCTGATATTAGTTTATGAAGTAGTCACAGCCTTGCACAAGATGATGTAACTTGGGGCGCTCTCTGTCTGTCTTGGGTTTGTGGCCTGAAAAGTTATCAATCCTTGCTATAAAACTTTCAGTCTGTCACTCTGAGAGAGATGGGCGGTCTAAATATGATAAGTAAATATTGTACTTTGTTTTTTCTAGTGGAAAAATCAGCTATTTCACACATCCACCCGAGACACACACTCTTCCTACTCACATCAGTGCTGAGATTGTGACGGAAATGGGCAAAGCCTTCGATTTTGAGGCACTGGAGCAGGAGAATGAGAAGGCTTTGGCTAGTAAGTGGTTGGGAAAATGGGACCGCTTTCCACAAGATTTTGCCACCATACGAATCTTGTTTTGCCTAGCTTTCCTTTGACGGTCAGGAGTTTGACACCCAGCCCAACAGCTGTATTTACACTACAGTACATGTCATCCCTTCTCAAAGAGGTTGACAAAAATGGAGAACATTCTGTAGCTTCTGCTGGTCCCAGATATGTCTATTCTGCAATTCAGCATAATTCTCCACATTCTTTCAAGACCAGAATATCTGCCCAATTATGTAATAACGCTGTAGCAATATAATTATAAAAAGCTGCAGGGTGTGAGGTGGTATTACATATCAGTTACCAGCAGTAGTGGGTTTCAATTTAGTTTGCTACCAGTTCACTCATGCACACATGCGACACTTCTGTGCATGTGCAGAAGCGTCTGGGCGGGTCGGTGTAGCCTCCCGCCACTGCTATCGGTTCGCCCGATCCAGGGTGAACTGGTAGCAACCCATTACAGATTACCAGGATTCTCTTCAAGCAGCTATTTATTTCCCTATCATTTCTCCTTCCCTTTTCTAAAAGCTGTTCTGCCTTTCTCAATTCTCTCCAACCTTCCTCCTCCTCCTCTTCTTTTTCTTTGATCTGTTAGAATAGGTATAACTGAACATAGAGTCTTCCACCAAATCCAATAGGTCAGGATATAGTTTTCATTTCTCTTCTCCTTGTCCTACATCTGTGATCCCATAAATTAAGTGTAACTGAACTAGTTTGTTGAATAAGTTATACTTGGCTAGAATGTTAGTTGCTCTGTAAACTATGTTAACTGATTTACAACTCAGGATGGATTTGTTCATTCAGCTGGCCTAGCATCTTTAGTGTGAAGCAGCAGATTGAATTCTTCTCCTTGCTTTAAGCCTCTTCCCACTCAAGGCTGACTATAATTTAAGAACTCTGGTTTGTTTGTTTTTTGGATAGATTTAATCTCTGGTCCTTTGGGAATCTCCTTGGAGGGTTCAGGCCTAACTAGTGGGGCAGAAATTGAAATGCCTGAGGAAGAAGGGCTGCATATTACAGAAGAGGAGGAGACTAAGATGGAAGAAGATGAGAATGATGAGGTATGTGCTCCAGCCTTGGTTGTGCATGGGCTATCATTTTGGCAAGCATCCAGGCTCCAGCAGTTCTAAATAACAGGCACTGAATATAGAACCATCTAAGGGAAGAAATTATCTTAATGTATATTAGTTCTATGTATGAGCTATTTATTAATAATTTCAGTATCAAATTTCAAGGCTGCCTGATTCCTTAATGACTCTGGGCAGGTTATAGATAAAAGAAAACCCATAAATATAAAAAGAGGCCATGGCTGATCAGAAGAACACCCAACCTAACTAAAACAAGGCGGAACTGAAGAGGTCTTCACACCATCTTTTCCCAGGAGCTAGAAGAACCACCAGATTTCAGAGGACAAAAACCCTTTCTCCATAGATACTGTTTGAACCATCATAACAAAAAGCCTGTAAAATAATACTGAAGGATTTTTCCCTAGACATTCTTTCCAAAGAATCATGCTAGAAGTCTTAGAGATAGCACACTTTCCTGAGAAATTCATAGTATTTCTACTGATAAAAGTGTGTGGGTGGGGGGGGGGGGGGGAGTTGAAGATTTATAAAATGGAGCTAAAAGACTATCAATATTTGGAACAGGAGAGAAGGGACTGGATATTCTGCAAGAAACATTTCTCAGGATATTCTCGTCCCCTTTTCTTCTCAGGTTTGATAAGTTAATCCTAAAATCATAAAATTCTGTAGCCAGATCAACAGGCCTGGAATTTTACCTTATTGGGATGTCAGTTGTGTAGAAAACACTCAAGCTTTGCTGTGTTTTGGTGAGCGATATGGGCAAATTGAAAGAGTAAGAGTGAGTCTCAGTCCTCACATAAATTGAGACAAGCACTGATAGCTAACAGAATAGAGAATTCTTGCTTTCACAAAGCATTGAAGACCTATTGTGTTTTTTGCCTCAGGCACTGAATTGGGAGAATTTGGAGTTTGGAAACAATTTGTTTCTAGTGCTATTTGCTTTGTGCCTTATGTTTGTTTACAACATTCTACTGTTGCCTTAATAACCTGAGTCATTTGTTCAAAGAGAGCAGCCCAAGATAATTTATGTATTTATTGTCAAATTATTTTATGAGAAGTTTAATACTTCACTTATCCTTCTACAGTTACGTAGAACTCAAGAATTTTAGCTCTGATGGTTTGCACTGCTGTATCTCATTTTGTTTAGATGTGCCGTATTAGTACGTTTGATACAATTGAACTCTCTCCTTTTTTTCTATGTCGGTCACTGACAAAAATTAATACAAATTTACTATTTCACTATCAAGAGGGCAGCTATATAAATAAATGCATTTTGAGTGTCCATTCAAATCAACGAGGCCTTTTTCTTCTTCCCTCTAGTTTGGCCCAGTGACTATAGAGCTGAAGTCCAAGAACAAGACTCTAACAGAAGCAGCCGAAGCAGTGCCCAAAGCACCTAATTTAGGGGAGATCTCAGCCTTGGACCCTCTGTACCAAGGGCAAGGCCTCCGGGCGGCAAGCAAGAAACGCAGAAAGCGTCAGAAACGAGCAGGTGGGAAGCTGGTTTTCTACTTAACCCCCATTGTGATTTCATGAGGGGTTTTTTTTTTTTGTTTGTTTGTTTTTTTGGTCATTTCTTGGCATCAGCTTGCGAGTCTGATAATACTTTGCCCCTCTTGGGGTTGTGTAGCTTAATGACCGTACTTGGGTATAGAGGGAGGAGGGAATGGAGGAGGAGCTGCTAACAAGGCAGCGGTCAGATAAATAGGGACTGAGCCTAGGCCAAAAAAGTAACTTGAATAGATGTCTGAGACAATATTTTAAACAAAAATAAAGGGAGGGAAGAGGAAACTTACTCAGACTTGCAAGATTTTGTTACATTAAAAGTAGTATTACTTTATATGGCATTGGTTCCTTAGTCTGGTCTACCTTGAAGGGCTGACAATGGATCATAATTTCCCCAATGCCGCCTTTTCTCACAGAGAACATAAGGAAATCATGTTCAGGGAAACATCTCCTTGGTTTGTTCATTTCTTTCCCTTTAAAAGGAAAGATTCATAAACATTGTCATCTGTAATTACTAATTGTTGTGTTTCCTGCCCCCATTTTTATGGAAGTAAGTAATCATAAGGGAATTCGGCCTAATAATAAAATACTGAAATAAAAGCATGTTGTCCAACTGTTTTAAAAAACAGAGAGGACTGTTTAATTCAAGAGTGATTTCTCCCTGTATATATTCTTAACTACAGTGGGCTTTTTATGTTCTTGTAAAATACATCTTACCTGCATATTTTAAAAACTGGATTCTTGCAAAAAGAGTTTAGATTCTAATCCCATTTCGCCCACCATTTTTCTACAGACAAAATTGCAACCAAACTATCTGCAAGCCTGACAGCAGCCATGAATTTCAGCTTGAAGGATGACTGAGGAAAATTGGATGCTGGGCTGCTATTGATCTACCTCAGGAAGGCTGTTCCAGCACAGCACCCATAGGAACAAGGACGCAAAGCAGTTCCCATAAAACCCACACATCATTGTGGAACAGACCTCTGCAGGCCTATGAAGAACTAATGAGCTGTTTTGCCAAGAAAGTTTATTGAAGAGGTTAAAATCAAACTCTTAAAATAAGGGTGCAATTGCATTAACATTGTCTCAGATTTGGCTCTTAATATTACAGCAGACTGACAGAAAAGAAAGTCTCGTTCCAACTCGGTCTCAAGTGTCTCCAGTGCCAAATTTGATTGAGCAGAGGTAAAAGCAGATGTAGAGTTCGCTCTTCTAAGAGCATACAGGAATGCCGTTCTTGGGAACAGTGACTCAGGGGGACACTTCAGTTCTAGTCAGAGTTGCAAAAAGGAGGAGGTTACTGGGCCAAATCATGTATGGGGAAAAATTCTAGACTTAATTAAAATTAATTTAAAAAACTCTTTGTAACCGTGTCAGTCTATTGATCTATTTTCCTGCCAACCAGGGACTGAAAATCAAAAGTAGCTAAATTAAGAATATGAGGCAGGCCATATCAAACCCAGGCATAATAATATCCGGCTCAACTCTTGCCTGCTCAGGTTCTTTAATATCTTTAGAGATCTTAGGATACTCGGAGAAAATCAAATAAAGGAATCACATGTCCCAGATTGATTATTTTCTTAGTCAAAGAAGTGTGATTATTGACCAAAACCTTGCCAAAAGAGATGCTGCTTCCTTTGGCTGCATCAGTACACAGTGAGGTTATTTATACTTCTTTGGCTTTTCTTGCAGACATCTGGGGCTCAGGCTTCTCAGTTTGTGAAAGAGTCTGCGTCTTGTAGAGACCGACGGCTCCGAAGGTTGTACCGCGGTGTCTGTAACAGGCAAGACGAACATGATATTTCTCTATTAAATTTATAGCTGCCCATCACACTATCCAGACTTGACTCTAGGCGGCTACAATTATGTGAAAGCATAAATACAAAAGCATTAAAAGTGTTAACAGTTAAATAAAAGGTTAATACCAAAAGCATGGATGATAGGGGGATGAGCTTTTGTCTCTCGCTCAATTAACCACCTACAGCAAAGCATGCCAAATTTTAAGGCACTCCCAGAAGGCCAGGAGGATGGAGGTAGATCTCACCTCTGAAGGCAAGGTGTCCCACAGTGCAGGAGCCACTGCTCGTCTTGACCCCACTAGCTGAGATGTCTTGGCTAGGAGTCCAAAGAAGGCCTCTTCTGCCAGAGTGAATGGCACAGGCCCATCACATCGGAGGAAGAAGGTTCCTCACAGAATATCCACAGGCCTGCTTTATTATTAATTTAATTGCAAGCTGCCCAGAGTCACGAATGTGAGATGAGTGGCTGTATAAATGAAATAAATATTAGTTATTTATCTGGGGACCTGGTCCTTGAGCTATTCATTGATTGTCAGGTAAGAAACAATTGCCCTGTGCTGGCAGAAGACTTGTGTATAATGCAGTATGCTTTTTAAAAGAATGAAAGATTGTATTTCTGCAGAGTCACTCAGAAAAAAAAACTTAGAGAAGCATTTCTGCTGCAGAATAATAAGTTTGTGAAATCTCAGCACTGTTTCCCTTTTTCTGTTACATGATCGAAAGCCATGTAATTAGAGCAGGGACACTCTTAACATTTCTAATATACAAGCTATTTCTCAAATATGCATGAGATAGGAAGCTTATTGGTCCCAGACCTACAGCAATGCGGTAAGCCCTTTTCCGTCAGTCAGGCTGTTTCTTGGGCCAATTTTTTTTTTAAAAAAATCCTCCCCAAAGTCTCTAATCAGAAACAGAATTATGGAAATATATTGTGACACACACAGCTTTTGCTATCAATTCAATCCAGGATTTGAAAGATAAGCAACCATGAGTAAACTAATTACTGAATTTTGCAGTGTGGTAGGAGAAGGTAAGTAGGTTAAATGCATGCCGTAAAAGTCAGAGAAGGATGCAAAATGTAAAAGGTGCAAATTTATAGAAAATGTGCAATATCTGCTGAAATGCAAATGAACCAAGTGAACCAAGGACTGGAATAAAGTTCCCAAAACTTGAGAAGAGTGCTGCCATCCTGCTTTAGTAGAGTAGTTAAGTCAGAATGGAAGACCCCCCCACCCCCACTATCCTTCATAATTCAGTACACAAATTTAATCAGTGAACTGGAACACGGCAGATTTCAGCCCAGCTTAACACCTTGGTCACAGTGAATTCTTGGAAACGTAATTCTTTCCTCTGCAATGTTATTGCTTCTAAATCATTTCTCCCTACTTTTAGCTTAACTTCCCCCATTCACCCACTCCAAAAAGCTTGGGAATCGGCCCTAGAAACATGAGGACATTTAGCATACACTTTAGGAGCTTTTAAGGGAAAGCAGAGGATTATTTAAGCCCCCCCCCAAAAAAAATTCTATAGCAAGATAGAGAAATCTCTTGAATAATATTCCATAACTGGGTGCCCTCCATGCACATTAGACTATAACTCCCAGAATCCCTACTAGCAGCATGGTTTTCTTCTGTAGAATAATTTCTTCACCAAATGACGTAGTGTGACACTTGGCTTTAACTCACCCGATCCACTGGTATAGAGATTGTCAGCAGCTGAGTAGCCACATTTTGGGATTGCCTATGCCGGCGAGACAATGAACGATGAGTCTGGGAAGATGGCCATCCTCTCTGCCTGGGGCTACTAGTCTGTATCTCATCTGATAGAAAAAAAACACTGCACTGAATGACTTTCAAAGATGCTCTTAGGAATGAGTGCAAATTCCCTTCTATGAGACTATACCAGCCTTTAGGAGCCAGACCTATTCTATGCAGGCACATTTGCTTAAACACTGATCTCACACATGAGAATTACTTAGAAAGTTGAAGATGGATTCATGTGAGTACACCATAATGGTCTCCCAAGAGAAAAATCTTTCTGAATAGCCAAATCTTTTATCAGTTGTCTAAAATTCTTCACATCTGCCCAAACTGGGAAGTTTCACTAGAAGGCTGCTGCTAGTGAAAAGGAACAATTCCTGCTGTCTTCAGATAGCAGCCACAGCAAAATCCCAACTGCTGTTGATGTTTAGAGAAGCCTATGAGAGAGGATTGGATGTGCTTTAGAAGCCTAATGCTGGTTTATCAGAATGGTGAACATAACACAAACACTCTGCATTGGCCTTGATATTATCTACACTATATACAAGGAGTCTATGGTCTTCCATGTGCTAGTGGATTACTCCTGGCAGACCCAACCAATATGCCCAGTACTAACTGAACCCAAAAGGGATTTCTTTACACAGTTGTAGCTTTCTTCATTCTTATTCTTCTTCATTGGCTCCTGACAACTGCCTGGACAGGTTCCTGAGTTTTCCTGGCAAGATTTCAGAAGTGATTGCCATTGCTTGTGTCCTAGGGCTGAAAGAGTGACTGGCTCAAGGTCTCCCAGCGGGCTTTGTGCCTAAGGTGGGACTAGAACTCACAGACCCCTGGTTTCTAGCCCTGTGCTTATTACACTGGTTCTCAACAGATTCTTCGCAGAGCTGTAAATAACCTAAACATCTACAAACAGCATTTATTGTCCACTTACCAATTACTTGCAGATTGTTTTTGTAGTTCAACTGCTTTACAGCCCAACCTTGGTTTTCACAATCTGCTAGAGAAGGAACTACAACAAAGTTCCACAAAGCATTTGTTAGAGATGCATATTGACAAGGCACTGTCCTTTCCAAAGAATTTTTTCTAATATTTATCAGGTAGGGTTCTTTCTAGCATCAATCAAAAGCTGTCTCTCCCCTAGCCTTGCTGCAGAGTATATTTCTGAGATTAATAGCACAGAGGAAAGTAGACTGCAGTCACGTTCTCTTTTATATGTTGTAAAATACTAAGATTGTATTTGTAGACATACTTCCCTACGGAATGGTAGCATTCTCTTGGATTGGTACAAAATACTGAATCATATTCAAGCCAGGGTTGCAAAATACATTAGACTAAAATGAGATTGACTATTTGTTGCAAATCAGTGTGCAAACATAGACTGAGTCAACCAAGGTCAGCAATTCCCGGAAAAGGATTCAAATGGAAGTAGTCTGTTTGAGCCTATTTGTTTCATTGGGGTGGGGAATGGGGTAGTGGGGGGAAGCATCAGATATGATTTGGAGACACAACTGCAGCTAGCAGCAGCTTCCAAAGTTTAGTTCTTTCGAGGTTTGCTCTTCCTTCAAAACCATATTTCAGCATTATGGCCATTTGGTAAGGTAGGTCAGGAAAAGAGATCTAGGCAGAATCATACAATGGAGTTTCACAGAGGGTGGGAGATTTAATGTAGTGCTTCCCCTTCTCTAGCACCTACCCCTTAGCCACCGAATGACCCCAATTCTACCTGCTATTTTCCCATTCCTCCACCAAGATGGCACTCACTTCTCTGGTATTCAGCCCAATATTCTTTTGTGTCCATTTCAGCTCTCTTCTCTGAACAGAACAGCAGCTTTGAGACTCCCATGTCAGCCGATACCTCCTCTTCTGTTCTAGGCTTGGTGCCTTGAAACAGAAGCTCCGGTTTAGCCAACAACCTCTCTGGAAAAAAAAAAAGGCGGCACATGTTGAGCAGAACCTATCAAGATCTAGAAGTCTATACCCTGGCCAAACAAGAGTTGTTACATCATGTATTATTATTTTTTTATTTAGGTCTGGAACACTAGAGCAGGGGTCTCCAACCTTGGCAACTTTAAGACTTGGGGACTTCAACTCCCAGAATTCCTCAGCCAGCAAAGCTTGGAGATCCCTGCCAAGGTTGCCAAGGTTGGAGATCCCTGCACTTGAGTGCAGGCTGAAGCCTGTGGATTTTCTCATTACATGGTCTTTAGCAACTCCATGTCTCATTTACTTGTAATGTATACAGAGGCACCTACGTCATTCCCCAAAGCACTCACATGCTCTTCGGTAGGCAGAAGAACAAGGGAGATGCTAGCTAGCAATCATTAGGCAATCACAGCTCTCAAATCTCTTATTGTTCATTTCTAAGAACAAATGATGCATTCATACATATTGCGCAAGCACCCTAGTCCTTTGAAATGGAGCTAGATGAACAACCTGGAGTACTTTTAAAGGCACAAACCTTTCCCTATTTTAAGCCAACTACCTTCCTTACTATAGACTTTTGTCTTGATTAGCATCCCCAACTTGGAGATGGGCAGAAGCACCAGAAGCACTCTGTGCATCGTCCATCAAAAGATCTGACACTGTTCCTTGGGCAAGGCAAAGCCATTTCCTCCCCCTCAAGCCTACAACCAAACAGTGTTTGTCTTTCATTACCAGTTTCTTGTAAAAGTTGCTGAATCTCTTTCCGAGTTTCCTGCAGACTCTGCAGCACCTCTTGGCTCTGTTTGGCTGGGTCCTTGTAGGTCCAAATAAAATAACCTAGTATAGCTATGCAGAGTCCAGCAAAAGTCCGGCGTGTGAGGCCGACCCAGAAGGAGAGGCTTTCCTAAGAGGAAGAAAGGTAGCTAAATCAGTCTGATTGTCCCAATTCAGACATTAAGAGTTGGGCAACCATGGGGTTTACACTCCCTTAAACTTCAACATAGAAACCAGGGGTGAAATGCTCCCAGTTCGGACCAGATCACCCGATCCAGTAGTGATGGCGGTGGGTGATTCGGAGAACTGGTAGCAAACATCCCTGCCCCCCCCCCATGCCCAGCTGAGCCGCGGAATCATCAGAGGCTTTTTTATTTTATTTTTAAAAGCATTTTTTCTACAACCTCTTCCGCTGAAAAAATGCTCTTAAAAGTAAAAAAAAAAAAAGCCTCTGATGATCGCAAGGCTCAGCTGGGATTGCCAGAGGCTTTTAAAAGCATTTTTTCTACAACCTCTTCGGCCGAAGAGGTTGTAGAAAAAAATGCTTTTAAAAGCCTCTGACGATCCCAGCTGAGTTGCCTGATCGGCAGAGGCTTTTAAAAGCATTTTTTAATAACCTCTTTGGCCGAAGAGGTTGTAGAAAAAATGGTTTTAAAAGTGTTAAAAAAAAAAGTTGGCCACGCCCACCCAGTCCCCCACCAAGCCACACCCACAGAACCGGTAGTAACAAATTTTACATTTCACCATTGACAGAAACCCTACCTTCCCTTACTTCAGACTGGGGCATGGAGAATTCTCATATCTGAGTATGAACAGCAGCAAGGTGTAATACCCTCATGGGCTTAAATTGAAAATACAAAGATATGATGAAGAAGTTATTTAATTTCCTGGTAGCCACTAAGTCAGGTTATTTTAAAACAGATGAATTTGATGAGAACAACAGATGTGCCATGATGGTTTTCAAAAACCATAGCCAAATAGAACTTCCATAAATTCGTGAAAAACAAAAGAAAGGGCCTACAGCTGAGACTTCTGGAAGTTACTATTTCAATACCTAAGGAGGGAAGCAGGTTGCGGAAGGCTGTTCTATCAAGTATTGTACAAGTCACTGGCAAGAATCAGCCAAGTGCTTATGACAGTTATACAATCATAGGGCATATTATTCACAGTCTATTACTTTAAAAAATAGAGGGTTTGTTTAGCTGTAACAACTAAAGATCCCTGATCATTGTCACTGGACTATACTATTACTTTCCCAATCATTTCCAAATGGTAGCCAGCACCTTAACAATGACAAAAGAGAATATCTGTAGCTCAGGTTTGAACTATGAGGTCTTTGGTGCTCTCTGAGCCTCAGTTGTTGTTGTTTTTTGCACACATTTTATTGGCAAACTAAGTAACATCATCAGTAATAACTCTATTGATGTTACCTAGATTAGTAATGAAACATATGCAAGAAAACAACCCAGCTCAGAGAGCACCAAGGACCCCACACCTCAATACTGCATAGGTGAAATTATATTGGACTGATGCCTAAAATTTCTGATGCCTTCCAGCATCAGAAATATGCTTGAAAAATGTTTTGTAATACTTGGATGAAACTCAGGTTGATAAATGAATGAAGTTCAAACAACATGCTAGATTTAAATATTCTGCCCGATTTGATTTTTTAAAATTTATCACTTAGGGAAATCTTTCTCAATCAGAATTTCAGCATGAAAAAAAGCAAAAAAAAAAAAAAAAAGCTGGATCCCTCTCTCTCATTGTCATTTATTGAGACACAAAGCCCCCACTTGGCATAATCAGGGCCTTTTTTCAGGTGCCAATCACAGTGCAGGGAGAGATTTTCTGAGAATATCATTACTGTAGGGGAGCAAATGAGTTATTTCTGTACTTTTTTCATTTATCTTCTTTTGGGGTAAATGTAGTACTGTTAGGGGGACTTGTTTAAAATCTCCGTAATCATATACAGGTAGTCCTCGATTTACAACCACAACTGAGCCCAAAATTTATGTTGCTAAGTGAGAAATTTGTTAAGTAGGTTTGCTCTATTTTATGACTTTTCTTGCCACATTTGTTAAATGAATCACCACAGTTCTTAAATTAGTAACCTGGTTGTTAAATGAATCTTGGTTTCCCCATTGATTTTGCTTGTCAGGTGGTCACAAAAGGGGATCACATGACCCCAGGACACTGCAAGTGTCATAAATGCAAGTCAGTTGCTTAGCATCCAAATAGCAATAGCACTTAGACTTATATATCACTTCATAGTGCTTTTACAGCCCTCTCTAAGCTGTTTACAGAGTCAGCATATTGCCCCCAACAATCTGGGCCCTCATTTTACCCACCTTGGAAGGATGGAAGGCTGAGTCAACCTTGAGCCAGTGAGATTCAATCTGCTGAACTGCAGCTAGCAGTCAGCTGAAGTAGCCTGCAGTACTGCACTCCAACCACTGCGCCACCTCGGCACTTAAATGTTAAATGTTAATCACGTGACCATGGGGATGCTGCAGTGTGAAAAATGGTCATAAGTCACGTTTTTCAGTTCTGTTGTAACTTTGAATGGTCACTAAATGAACTGTTGTAAGTCGAGGACTAGTGTAATCAGGGCTTGTGACTTCTTGAGGGATGGTGTTGCAATTGTATGCCTAAGAGAAACACAGTAATGGATAACTGCAATAACCGGACTCTAATTAATACAAAATAAGAGAAACAAAACAAATACAAGGGATGCCTAATTTCAACAAGGAAATCAGAATTGTAATTGTTCTGGCACTGAAACCCTTGGCTATAACTTTTCACCTCATTTTGTCACTACGTGGACGGCCCATCAATGAACCTAGCACTTGGGTTCCAGATTCAGTAATAGCTGTGAACTTAATTCAAATGTATGGGTGGCAATGCTAGAAACTCAGATTTTATTCCTAAAGTATGGCTATTTTGTATCTGCATGCATTTTGCTAATACAGTAGCAAAACAATCTTTGAGAGTCTTCACTGAATCAAATTAAGGTGAGAATTCAACTAGTGGTTGGGAATCCTTCTTGCTTCCTCAGAATCATTTAGCTCTGCTTAGCTGTTTCTCTAGCTCCACGCTTCCACCCAAAAGCTTGCTTAATTGCAGCCTCTGTCCCTTAACAGGGGTGAGCATGACATCATGACACTGCAGGCAAAGAGCTGGAGACAAAAACACATCAAGTTATCTGTGTTGGAACAGTAAGACAGTTCCTCAGTTGAGATCAGCATCAAAGCATCCCTCCAGGCATGGCCTATTTTTGGCTACAACTCTTGTCCTTTCCTCCTCTCCATTTGCTATTGCAGGAGAATGACCCTACCGTCAGGTCGTAGCCCTCTTCTGAGTGATCCAGGAGAACGTTACAAATAACACGTTCTAGATAAATATTAGCTCCCACCAAGGTCAGCAAAATGAGCCTGGAGATAAAAGGAGGGAAATAAAAGGTCATTATGAGAAAGTGTAGAATATATTTCATAGTCTACATGTCCATGGTTTACATTCACAGAAGAATGGATTCTTACGGTTTTTGCACAATGACACATTTGGACAATTGCAGCTTCCTTTTGAAAGGCAGCTAATTTTTAGTCCCGATATACCCTGTTTCCCCCAAAATAAGATATCCCCTGATAATAAGCCCAATCGGGCATTTGAGTGCATGGCAATAAGGCCAAGTGCTTTTTTCAGGGTTCAAAAAAATATAAGGTAGGGTGTATTTTTCCTCTAGCTTGCTAGCTTGCTAGCTGCTAGAAAGGAAAAAAGCCCAGAATCGAGTGGATGTGATTCTACTGAGCTGGTGCTGCAGAAAAACCTTGGTTACGTAGGGAAAACCTGGCTAGAGGAAAAACACACATAAACCCTACGAAGAAGTAAGAAAATAGACACTATACCTTTACAGGGAGGATACATAAGATATGGGTGTGGCCTACTGATGAAAGCAAACGAGCTAGAAATAGATCTATATAGGTCTCCCACCTAGCAGGAAGAGCTTGCTAGCTGCTAGAAAGGAAAAAAGCCCAGAATCGAGTGGATGTGATTCTACTGAGCTATATATATATATATGGAAAAGAATTTTTGGCATAGTAATTGAACTGCGCCTTTACCAAGCTTTGACTAGACTGACTGAGGGTGCTACCTCATTGGCAAAAAGTGGGATGCGAACTTTGGGACAGAAGAGAATTTACATGTGCTAACTGCTGAAAACATGAATAATACTATATAAATAATAACTGCAATGTTTTGAATAAACACAACCTGTCCCTATTTCCCATTTGTTGCAGATACCCTGCTATTTCCTCATCTGCTGTCATCCACAAAAAGTGTAAAAAACCTGAATCTTCAGTTTCATTTGTATGATACTTGTATGCAGAAATGTCCAGTCTTACACAGGCTGTCCTCAACTTATGACAGATTTTCCATTTGCTAAGGAAAGTGGTTGTGAGTTGCACCCAGTTTTATGACCTTTTTTGCCACACTTAAGTGAATCCCACAGTCATTAAGCAAATCCAACTTTGCTTGTCAGAAGTCGGCTGGGAAGATTGCAAATGGTGATCGTATGACCTCTACTGATATATGCTGGTTGCCAAGTGCCCAAATTTTAATCACGTGACCATGGGGAACCAGTCATAAATCAGTTCTTTCAGTACCATTGCAACTTTGAACAGTTGCTAAACAAATGGTTGTAAGTTGAAGACTACCCGTACTAAATTTTCACTTATCGCTGTCTGGTGATCTGACTGCTGAACAATTGTGGGGAAGGCAAGCAGTGGAACTGCCTTGCACTGAGCTAGATCTTTGGTCTTATTGCCAACCTTAACTGACAGTGGCTTTCCAAACTTCCAGAAGCAGTTAAGTCCTAGTAATACCTGGAACTCCTTGGAATTAAAACTAGGGATGTTTAGCATATAAAATAAGATATAGTTCCTCTTTCACAGTCTTACCAATTCTACCAGAAAAAGAACAGCGTATTATGTGACCAAATTACTTGGGTTGATTATGTCAAAGGCTATTTGATTTATTGAAAATGTTTAGATAACTGCCCATCTTAGGCAACATAACTCTGGGCAGCTCACAAATGACAATAGTAGAAACAATGAAAACATCTTGTACCACTTCTTGTTGCACCAAGAAATACACTTACGGATACCTTCAAGGAAAGCTTGAACCCTCCACCTGCATTCGTGTGATCCAGTCCTTTTGAGTGGACTAGATAGAGCATTAAACAATCAAGGGCATTTTATGTGTCTGTTCTGTTTTTTTTCTCACCGAGCTCTTGCAGTTCGCTGGCTAGAGGTCAGCAGCAGGGCAGTAACACCGCTCAAGAGATGGAAGAAGATGGAATAGAGCGCATTGGATTCTCCCACTACAAAGCGGTGCAGGAAGGCCACCCGATTGAAGATCTCTGCAAAGGCCATTCGTTGCTCGATGGCCGAATTCTGCAGTTCTTGGAAGGCCTGGTGTATGCCTGCAGAAGGGAGAGGAAGGACAAGAAGCCATTGCCCTCCCAGACAATCTGGGCCACTTTGGGCCACTTAATACTGGTGCGTGACCATAATAAAAATTGATTATTTGGGCCACTTATAGACACTGCCATGAATTTGTTGTCTGTCTTTCACACACTGATTGAAAGCGTAAAGTACATATAGATGAGGGGCTGACAGTTTCTCCTAACCTGATGCCCTTCTAGGATGTCTAGTTCCTGTGTTGTGGTCCGCAAGCAGCCTGCGGACCTGGCAGTGGAGTCGGACAGTGAGGAGGTTGAGGAAGAACATGGGCCAGTCCTGGAGGCTGGGGAAGGGCCAGATGAGGGCTCTGAGTCAGAGGCAGAGATGGGGCCAGGGCCATCTGGGAGTAATGTGCGGACTCCGGAGCCTCCAGAGGCTGACAGTAGAGAGGCAGAGGAACAGGAGGAGCCTGTTCCTAGTGCACGTATGAGAAGAGCTGCCAGAAGGCAAGAGCAGCTACAGCAAAGAGGACGACTTGGGAGTAGGGCCAAGAGATGATTGGCCCCTCCCATAAGACCAGCAACGGCTCTTGGGCTCTTTATTGGAAAACAACGTTGATAGATTGATTTCTTCTCTTGCTGCATTTATTTCTTGTCAGCATCTTCTGCTTCTGAACTTTTGCCAAGAAAAGCCTTTGGCAGGTTACCTAATTAGACCAAGATTGGTGATAAGGCTGAAGAATTGTGTTATGAAGAATTTGTTTTGATTTGGTTTGGACTACGCTGAGAATGAGTTAATTCTCAGCTGTTCTAATAAAGTCTGTTTGTTTCAAACTGCTTGCGTCTGATAATACCTACTTGGGCCTGGGTCACAACATCCTGTTTCCGTAATGCCTTAAGTAAGATGCTGGCTCTCAGGAGAAGGGACCAGAAGACAGGGCTTTTCTGTTGTGGCTCCGACACTTTGGAAAACCTTACCTTCAAAGGTGCACCTCGCCCTCACATTACTGACCTTACGTAAGGCTCTGAAAGCTATTTTACACATGGTCACGGGGCCAGCCTTCGTTCTTCCTTTATACTGTATGGTTTTTGTATACTGGGAGTGGTGATGATGGATTTCATGGAATTTGTACTCCAAGAGTAGGAATCTTTGGATGGCAAGAAACTTCTTATATTGATTCAAGCCAGTAGTCAGAACTTGTGACTTGTGGTAGCTGTTCAGGATTTCAAGGAAGAGTGTTTCCTATCATATATGGTGGGGAGGGCAAGGAAGAATCTGGAATCTCCTATACAGAAAGACTATTTCTATCATTGAACAAGGCCCCTTGTATAGTTGAGGTTCATTGTCTGTAATACCTAATTCTCTCACGCAGTTTTGCAACCTTATCATATTCTTTCTTCCCATCCATTGTGCATTATATGCGTACATGGAAGAGTTAGATCAGGCAAGGTCAACAGCAAAAAGCTCAAATCAGACAGGTCTGTTACAATAATAATGCCCAGCTATCAACCGTTCTATCTATCTAAGCCTAGGCACCAGGGTAGAAATCAGGAGACTAAATTCTTAGTCCTGCCTTAGGCATGAAAGCCAGAGTGTTTGGGCCAGACACTCTCTCAACAATTGTCATTGTTAAGCAATGAGATCACATGATATTGCAATTTACAACCTTGTATTTGAGCAGTGGAAATCCCAATTCGAAGGACTACGGATAATCAGTATGAAACAAGTACTAAGCTATCAAGTTCCTGGGGAAAGAAAGCTTTGCACACATGGATTTATAAATCCCTTCATAACAAGTTTGTGCCTTTCTTTGCAATGTTTTTGGATAGCATAAACCAGGCAAAGAAATAAGTAGCTTGGAAAACTTTTTCCTGTATGAAATGAATTTTTACACATATGTATCTTAAATAATACATTTCTAAATGTATCATATCCCAAACATGTCCGTTCTGACAGATTTACTAGAGTCAAGATCTGCCCTGCAACATTTTGAGAAGTGCAAAATCAAAAAGGTCATTGATTTGCAATCCACTAATTAGCCCAGCTGGTCTGATGGATCACGTCTGGCTTGCATCCAGATTCCCAAAATTACCAGTTTCTTAAGTTGCAAACCATAGGTTGCAAGCAATTGAGCAGCTTTTTTAAAAAAAAAGTCACTACAGCACTTTTTTAAAAAAAAAAGCTGAATAAGGGTATCAAAATTTGCTTCTCTAAACATATTTTTATGAGCTTGAAAGTGGTGTCAGAATTTTTTTTTTGAGTCAATATACTAATGCCGTAGTGTACTCCAGTACTTTTAAGAATTGAAACTCCTGCCATACAATATAACACCAGAAGTTTCTGCAAATTAACACAGATGGGTGTATCTGTAGGGATAACTTTAGAATAGAATAGAATAGAATAGAATAGAATAGAATAGAATAGAATAGAATAGAATAGAATAGGTCAGGCAGGAAACCCTATACCAGTGTTTCTCAACCTTGGAAGCTTGAAGATGGGTGGACTTCAACTCCCAGAAACCCCCAGCCAGCGCTGCTGGCTGGGGGATTCTGGGAGTTGAAGTCCACCCATCTTCAAGCTACGAAGATTGAGAAACACTGCCCTATACCATTTCAGACAAATGGTTGTCCAATCTTTTCTTAAAACTTCCAGTGTTGGAGAATTCACAACTTCTGCAGGCAGGTTGTTCCACTGATAGCATATCTAGCTATCAGTGCAAACTCTTAAAAGGAATAATAACGCAGCTTTGTTCTCAGGTCACCTTGGGAGGAGTCACGGAGCGTCTGCCATAACAGCTCCCCATCGCGCAGGATCTGCTCTTGAGAGCGCAAAGTGGCATTTTGGATCCGAGCAGTCTCTTCTGCAAGCTGGTTGGTAGATTCCAACTGATGGGCCACCGTTTCTGAAGAGGAGATCAGCCTGGTAGACATAGATAAATAAGGAAGTAATTCACTGTAGTCCAAGGCAAGCCATCCACCATATTCCAAAAAGTGCTCCTACCTGAAAGGGTTCTTATTGACTTGCCTATCCAGAAGTCTGTTTTGGCATTTCAGTGGCAACATGGCAATGGCATGAGATCAGAAAGGCCTGACTGTGGAAACATTGCAACCTGCACTAACCACATTCAATGCTTTCACAATCACAGAGATAAGCAGGTGACTATTTATCAGGAGTCAAGCCTAATAGGAGTCAAGCCAGCTCCCTTTCCTCCTGTAATGAAGGTCAACTGCATTGACAACTGTATCCCATTACAATCTTTCCTCTAGCAGTGTCTGTGTGTTTTTTCTTGCTTCCCAATTATGTTCTTGAAAACCGACAGAGGCTTATGTGGAAGAGGAGAAGCGTTTATCCATTACTCAAATCTGAATTTTGCATGCTATGCAAAAGGGAAATATTGAAAATTGGATAAGAACCTCAGAAGTACCCATTGGCATGTTTACCTCTTAAAAAGAAAAAAAGGCTAAAGGGGGTTGCATTTTTTTTAAAAATATCTGCAATGGAAATAAGGATTACATTTACCTTTTTCCATACTGTAAAATGAAGGTGTTATTTGTATTGTTCAGTATCTGCTCATGGATTATAGTTTATAAATCCTAATATTGTACTAGGGTTTATAAGCTATAAGTATTGGAGTGGAAACCTGTGATCTTCCAAATGTTTCTGTCCTGATCCCAGCATTACTCTCCACTGGGCTGATGGAAGCTGTGGCCTGCTATATAATGACATCCAGCCATCTAGGTCTGTTGCCTCTGTTCCATGTACACTTATCCTTTCCTCAATTATCTAAGCCTGAATTGAGGTGTTAATTTCTTCTCCAGATTGTCACTGCCAATTCTAATTACATACAAAGGCAGGAACCATAAAGTGCCAATTTCACTGTGCCCCTCCCCACTTCAGGTCACAGATTGCTAATTACGCCCCAAGTAAAAAGCCAAATTATAGCCTTGCTCACTGAGCTTTTCCCCTCTTTACACAAAGAGACATTTTCTCTGTTTTCACCAAGTATCAGCTAGATAAAGAATGATGCTAGTGGATCTGATGGGGCGTGCTTCTCACATTAGATAATCTGTCCTTCAGAAAATAGCCTATAACCGGAAAACACTGGAATGACATTGCCATTTGAGGGCTCGTTCACTTCTTCTCCCCATGTACTGTAGATGTGGGGCATTACACTGAGTACTGCCAGTTCTGATGGTTGGAATGAAATTCTGAAGGTTCTACAGACCTGGCAGGGAGAGAGAGTTATCAAGTAAATTACTCAGGTCTGCTGACTTCCAGTTGTTTAACTCTTTCTTCCCACAGCAAGATAAAAGCTTGTAATTTGAACAGTGACATGTCCTTAACTAGTAATGAAAAATGAAAACAAAAGACAAATCCACAGTGCAATTCAAGGGACAAAGAACACTGTTTAATCATTTCCTTTTTAAATACAGTAGTCACTGCCTGTAGATTGCAAAAAAAGGGGAAGAAGGATGCTCTATTACTGAACAGGTATTTCTTGCAAGCTTAACTCTCTTCTTCTTCAGATAATACTATGGGCGTCCCTCTGAGAAAGAACAGCTCCAAAGATGTTTTCTCCTCTTTGCTCAAAAACCCTGCACCCAAGGACTACATGACTGCAGAAAAAAACAGCAAGAACATTTGAATGTTATTCTAAAGCACTTGAGGACACAAATGCTGCACCTGTAACTTTTTAAAGCAGCTGCATCATTTACATAGTATCCACAGAGCAGCTACACAATATGTCACTTAAAGATTATTTATCTATTTGTCCATAATTTTAAACCTTCCCAGCCTAACCGACAGGCATACCAACAAGAGTATCTCATCAATTAAAAATTGTTTTTAAGGTAATACCAATATCAGAAATCTATTTAAAAATATGCAAAAGGTCGCTTTCAGTTAATTTCTTCTATTTTCATTAAGGCATGCAAAGCAATTTAAAATCCTAAAACAAACCACTGTTGGCATAGTTTGCCCATGGTTAAGATTTCCTGTATTTTAACAAGCAGTTTTCTATTAGAAAGAAATATCTTAATCTTTTACCTCCAATTAGCAAAAGAAGAATTATTGTCAAATTTCCTCTGTGTTGGTAGATTATTTATACATAGAATAATAAGGTTGGAAGGGACGTTGGAGGTCTTCTAGTCCAGTCCCCTGCTCAAGCAGGAGAACCTATAATATTTCAGATAAGTGATTGTCTAGTCTCTTCTTAAAAACCTCCAGAGATTTCTGGATTCAAGAGTAACACCTAGGACAGTGATGGCGAATCTTTTCGGCACTGAGTGCCTAAACCGAAACATGCGTGTATGCATGTGCATGTGTGCATGCCGAAGCACTGGAAACCCGAAAACCAGCTGGCCGGCACGCGCATGCCTGTTTTTTGGCCATTTTTGGCCATCTTTCGGGCCATTTTCAGGTGCTCCGGCACCCCTGAAAACCAGCTGGGTGGCATGCATGCACATGCCGGAAACCAGAAGAGCAGCTGGATGACGGCACGCATGCCCACAGAGAGGGCGCGTGCCATAGGCTCGCCATCACAGACCTAGGAGATTGGCGATTCTAAAGGATCCTTGATAAAGCTTGTTGTTACCCCATTAGCCTGTTTCTAGATAAAGCAATTTTTACCCTTGGGATAGGCAACCTGCAGCCTTGCAACTATTTATGCTCTAGGCCTAACTTCAAAAGTTTCAATGAGTATAATAAATTCAGATCTCCAGCAAAAGGGATGTCTTCCTCTCTAGCAGCCTGTAGGGCAAGAAGCTCAAGGGAGAGAAAAAGAAGGGATGCGCCTATCCACTTTTAGTACCCAACCACTAGCTTCATCCCCATGCAACTTCCCCTCCCCAGCAGTTTATCCCCCCAAGGGAATTCAGCTTTCAATATAAAATAACCCACAACATAAGGAGCCCTCCTTTTTCTGACCTGTGCACAGTATCTTGGGCCTGCTGCTGCCAAGCCTCATTGTGAAGAAAATAACAGATGGCATGAGCATGAGTGAAAAACTCAGTGTACACGCCAAAAGCCACTGGATCCATGTGCTGTGTGCAGTCACGGATAGAGCTACCAATTTCACAGGGTGGGAACTTCCTCCCAGACCTGTCAAGGAAAAGACAAAAACTTAGTTGTTGGGGAGAAACTATACAGCCAAAGGCGGGGGAGGGGGAAGGGGGGGAATTCTCTTCTATGAAAAGGTGGCTTGCCTGGCTATACGACAGAAGACCCCTGCCCACTCTTTTCCTGAGTTTATTTATTTATTTTTATTTATTTATTATTCAAATTTCTATACCGCCCTTCTCCTTTCGGACTCAGGGCGGTGAACAGCCAAGATAAAAACATCTATACAAACATCACAGTTAAAAATAAAGTTAAAATAATTTATAAATTTGGCCCATAATTTAAAACTTGTCAATTAAAATCAGTATTAAAATTTTAAAACTAACCCTAAAATCAAGACAGACCGGCTAACTGAAAAAAATAAGTTTTTAGGGCCCGACGAAAGATCCGAAGGTCGGAGATTACTCGTATCTCTGGGGGTAGATTGTTCCATAGGGTAGGTGCCACCACAGAGAAGGCTCTCCTCCTGGGGGTCGTCAGCCGGCATTGTCTGGCTGACGGCACCCTGAGGAGGTCCTTTCTGTGGGAGCGAACCGGCCGGTGGGAGGCTATTGGTGGGAGAAGGCGGTCCCGTAAGTACCCTGGCCCTAAGCCATGGAGCGCTTTGAAGGTGATCACCAACACCTTGAAGCGCACCCGGAAGTCCACCGGAAGCCAATGCAGCTTGCGCAGGAGAGGAGTCACATGGGAGCACCCCGTCGCTCCCATAATCCCCCGTGCAGCCGCATTCTGCACCAGTTGGAGCCTCCGGGTGTACCCCAAGGGGAGCCCCATGTAGAGAGCGTTACAATAGTCCAGACGAGAAGTGACGAGTGCTTGAGTGACCGTGCGTAGGGAGTCCCGGTCCAGAAAGGGGCGCAACTGGCGTATCAGGCGAACCTGACAAAAAGCCCCCCTGGCCACGGCTGTCATATGCCCTTCTAAAGACAGCCGCGCATCCAGGAGGACACCCAAGTTGCGGGCCCTCTCCGTGGGGGCCAATGATTCGCCCCCAATAACCAGCGATGGCGTCAGCTGGCTATACCGGGACGCCGGCAGCCACAGCCACTCGGTCTTGGAAGGGTTGAGTCGAAGCCTGTTTCTCCCCATCCAGACCCGCACAGCCTCCAGGCACTGGGACATCACTCAAGGGAAGTGACAGTTCTCAAGGGAAGTAGCATAGCAGTGGCAGCTTGTGGCATTCTGTAAATCAGAATGTTTATTAATAGAACTGCATAAAGCTTAATTAAACATCACTTTTAGCTGAAATCTTTGATTCCTGATTTAGCATCAGATTACTGAACCGAAATGCACTCGGTTAGCTTCCTCCAGCCACAGCTGAAGTGTTCTGAAGCTTGATCTCACTGCTGTTGATCAATACAACAACAGTTGGATGACCCCAGAAGTTATTTGCATTTGATTCCTGGCTCAAGAGTAAGATAGAATGTATTGGCCTTAGAACAGCATTAGGCAACCACAAAGTCTGTGTAACTTGTTAGGCACTGTCACCATTATAATTGAAGGAAGCTCGATAACTGCAATGGCTAGGAGCAGTGGCAGGATAAGGGACCAGAAATAAGGAGACCAAATTTCACACCAGTATAGTTTTCTGTTGGCCCAAGAATGGGCAGAAAGCACTTCAAATTGGGGATAGAGAGAGGTCCTATACCAGAGGTCTTCAAACTTGGCTGCTTTAAGACTTGTGGACTTCAACACAACTTGTGGAGTTGAAGTCCACAAATCTTAAAGTGGCCAAGTTTGAAGACCTCTGCCCTATACTTTGACTCTGTTCTTCACCCCTTCTGATTCTATTTTCCCTGAGCACATAAGAAATGGTGACAAAATTACCTCAGTAAAATGTCTTGTCTATCATTGCTCTGCAGCATACTACCCACAGCTGTACCCAGCTCTAAGATGCTTAATAAAGAGAGCAGCTACAATAGGTGAAAGCCAACCTGTCTGTCCCTTTGCAGTTAAAAGGACAAGAATACTGAGAAGTGGGTAGGATTTTAACTTTGCTTCCTCCTCCACCCGGTGATTAAACCCAGATTGTAGACTCCTTCAGTTTAGAAACTTGACTCACCGTTGTAGGTGGCAATGAGCAAATGCCAGTGCAATACGGCTTTGTTGTTCTTCGTTCAACTCCTTGCACCCACCATCCAATTGTCTCAAGGTCTCCATCCAACAAGGTCCATATCGTGGGTGTCGGGCTAGCTCCTGAACCCATTGCAGGTGACTCCTGCCTTGAGACAGAAGCCCAGGATCTGGAGAAGATAAATCACAAGCAACGAAGCAGAAGAAAAACAGCAACAGGCTGCCTGGATGGTACCACATGATAGTAACCACTACAGCAAAGCAATCAGTGAGATAAACTAGTCAAAATTAGTTGAAGCTGCTGATGGAAGTTTGGGTGGGTATCCTTCCAGGGTGGAGCACCTGAGAGGGAGGGAAATGAAAGCTTTCAAATGATCATAGGAATTTGGCTAAAGGATGTGTGTTTGGCTTTACTCCTAATCACACAATAGGACTTGTTTTGCATTTGGTTCTACTATGTAGCAGAACAGCCATAACATAGTCAAGTTTTTTTTCCTCACCTGTATTCACCATTCTAGTTTCTAATCACTTATGTGGGATATCCAGTTGTGGTTTAATCAATAACTGCTGTGCAAGCAGTTAACAGTAAAAGCTGTATGGCCTGGACTAGAGTTATGTTACACTATACTCTTTACAATATAGTACAACATATTTAACTACAGTATTATTATCAAGTATTTATAATATAGATTGCTCAGAGATACAGGGAAGGTTGCTAGTATTTTTCCTATTTTTATGTTTTTTTAAAAATAGTGACATGGAGAGGATGGATTGATTTAGAATCAAAATTTCTATTCACTTAACATTTATTTAAATAATAAATAAACTACAGTGGTTAAGTCAAACTCACTACATTATCAAATGAATAAAGCAATCATGGTAGGTTAATGAAATACTTTGTGGATATGCGTTATGTGAACACAGCCAAAATGGTTTGTTAACCAAGAATTATGCTTTATCTTATGCTAATGGAACCAACAGAATATAAAAATAGCTAACGATAGGTGGAAACAGAAAAGTGTTAAATATTTCTCACTGGTAGATAAGTAATGGAAGTTTTTGTTTCTAAAATGAATGTACAAATCTTTCTGAAAGTATCTCAGCTGCAAGTTGTTTTTTTAATCATCATATTAATTTGGTAGTGATGATATTTGAATTCTTCTTGAACACACGTGCCAGAGCCAAATGAGTAATTTCTTTCCCTTGTTTTCAATATTGTTCCAAGAATATTTTTTCTTGCTCAGTCTTTTACTCTTAATTCTAAAAATATGTAAAGGGCATATTTTTTTAAACTTAAGGCCATCTTCTAGAACAGTGATGGTGAACCTTTTTTCCCTTGGGTGCCAAAAGCGCGTGCGTGCCGATACCTATAATGCAAAGCTCCCCTGCAGGCCCCGCCCCCTGTGCATGCACACATGACCTTCCGCACTCCCCCTCCCCCCGCACATGCACGCACAACCCCCCCGCACTCCCGTACACGGCCCGTTTTGGTGCTAGCAGGCCTCCCTGAAGCCTCCTGGAACAAAAAACGGGGTGCGGGGGGTGCCGCAACTCCCCCACCCCCGCACATGCAGTGCAACCCCTCCACCCCCGCACATGTACATGTGGCAGATGCCCTAAAATCAGCTGGCTGGCAGGAGGTGCATGGGCATGCGCGGTGGAGCTGACCTGGGTAGTCAGCTTGTATGCTCACAGAGATGGCTCCGCATGCCATCTGTGGCACGCATGCCATAGGTTCGCCATCATAGTTCTAGAATTTGGTACTGTATATCTTTTATTGAAGCAAAAATGATCACACATGCCTTGCCTAGCGGTTTTCCAGCTGTGTTCTGAGGAACCCTAAGAGTTCCATGAAATTAAGGGTTATAAAAGCCACTTTTCTATCACTAGAGCTTTGCCTCTTGATCAGGGTTTCAAAGAGTTTCTTTTTTAAATAAGGAATGTTTCAGAGTCTGAAAAAATTTGAAAAACCCTTGAAAAACCTCTATTTCCTACTGGTTCCCTAATTCTAGTGATATTTGCTGCCCTCTAGTGAATACACTTTTTCAAAAATCCCCTTTTCTTAAATGAATTAAAACGAGAGGAAAAAAAGAACAAACACCTAAAAATGGAATTCAAATTTATGGATATTAAATAGTAAAGTTTTTTACTCATTCTTATAACACTAGGAAAAATGCAAGTACTGTACTGCTGAAAAAAGGCTGCATACAGGTGACCCAATTTACAGAGCCAGATTCCACATATCATAAATAAGGCAGCAGTCTGTGAACATGTATCTTTTCTTTTATGTACACTGAGAGCATATGCACCAAGACAAATTCCTTGTGTGTCCAATCACACTTGGCCAATAAAGAATTCTATTCTATTCTATTCTAAATTTTCTATTCTACTCTACTCTATTTCTATTCTACATCCATCTTAAGAGTGTAAATCCGTCAGCCAGATTTTCTTCCAAGCACCTATACAGAAGATCCAGTTATTCATGGATTTGTATGAGGCATGCATATCAAAGTCACATATTATATGTTTTTAACGTATCTGTATGCTCTATGTTTGCAAGCATTTTTATTTCAGCTTTCTTTCCCTGAAATTATATCATCCAGCTATTTGTCCTACAACCCTCATCTCAGCCACTGTGGTCATAATTATGTTGGATGTGAATTTTAGCCCCCATATCAAGAAATCAGGGAAAGCGGCTACATTTTATTTGTAGCTTCTAAATATTATAGGGATTAGGCCTGATTCACAGAACATTCAAGTATATTTAACTATGATTTATTTAATAAACCACAATTTGGCTAATCTAAAATGCTAACTAATGATTTGCTGGGTTTACACAATATATGCCAAGAGAAAATAACTGTATCATAATCTTGAACCATGATCTACAAATCAATGGATTAATACCAGATGTTATTACATCAAAGGCAGGTTGAACAATTGGATCATATAGCCTGACTCTTAAACAAAACTTAACAATACTTTTGGTAACCTCATTACAATAATGTTCTAGGGCAGGTGTGATATGCAGTTTCTTCTTTAAAATCTTTACACAGTACATAATAAACATTCTTGTAAAATGTAAATGTAATAATGCAATTGACTCTGGTTCATGTAATTCATACCTTGAACAGTTAGTGTTGTTAACTAAACTTCTCCAATAGGGTAAAACACTGAACCAAGGTAAGCAAAATGTTCTTTATATACACAAGTGAGATCGAACACATAGCAAATATTATATTGTATTGTGTAAACTAGAACCTAGATCATTTACTAAATGTGACTTACACAAAGTATGTTCTTTGCTGAGTATAATTGGTTACAATCATATCTCTCACATGCTATATTTACAAACCATGAGTTTAATAACTCAAAATCTATTATGGTTCAGATATGTGAACCAGATTTAATATAAGCATGTCTGCACACAAACCTAATTTGAATTAATTTACATCAGATGTTCTCCCTTTCCAGTTGTTACTATACTACTATTGGAATGCTCCCTTTCCAGTTACTATACTATTGGAATGTTGCAGGTTATAAGTACTTAACATCAATTTGTGTTGGACATCTTTCATGATTACATTTAACAGTAAAATCTGTTTGGAGGGAAAACACCTGCAAATTGCAATTAATATTTGTCGAAGTTAATGAAAGATAACGCAAAAAGGCTAAGATTACTGTATGGCGCTTGATAAATCTGGTTAAGCAAGTTTTTCTTCCATTTCAAAAAGCTACAAAACTAGATTGGTCAACCAACAGGTTAGAGATGCGCTTGTACTACCAGAAATAATAGCTTCCAAGTACCTACAACTTGCGTTAATTAAAAAAAAAAAGGAGCAGTTTCCTCCCATCTGTTACTTCAATAGACCTTATATTGTAACTCGTAAAATTACAACGTGTTCGGAATTATAATTGTAGATTATAGATAAAATATTTTATCGGCCACGAAGTTGGGACTAATAAAAAAAAATTGAAAAATACTTTAAAACTGCCCTTGTAAAAAACTTGCAATTCGTGCCTGGTACTTCCAAAGCTATCGTTTAATCTTAAATAACTTGGTAAGTTTTTTATTTAAATGAAATCGAATTCCTGGCGTCTTCCTAAACATGTGGATAAAATGTTTAGCACCAACAGGATGCGTGGCCTGACTCTGCTTTCTTCAAAGGTTTATTTATTTATTTTTGGGCCGGCTTTTCGCCCCCCTCACACAGCCTTGGGGGGGGGGGGCGTGGGGTGATTTCTTGATCTCCCCAGCCGAATGAACGTTCCAGACAGCTTCGCGCGCTCACGCTGCGGAGGAAAGAACAGTCCCCACGCGCTGTGACACGCCTGCGCACTACAAAGGAGGGAGCGCGAGGGCGAGAAGACAACCCTCCACCGCTAGAGGGCGTCAGCGGGTAACCCGGTCTGTTTGGAAACAAGTCTTTCTCGTTTCTTCCTTTCTCAAGCTTTCGCGAGAATTCCGCCGAGCGCCCGCGAAGTTATGCGAGAAGAGGGGGAAAAATCCTAATTTTCGAGGGGGTTCCCCGAGACGCCTCTACCCGGCCTAGCCCACGTCGCTTTCTTTGAACCTCCCCAAAGCAAAACGCCTGAGAAATCTCGCTACAGGTTAAACGAGCAATACACTTCCGCAAGCCGTCACTAGCTCTCGCGAGATTTAGCCTCGCCGCCCCGCCTCCCCCAACGATTGTCTCAGGCACGCAAGTCTCGGCATTTCGTAGGTGCTCTACGAAGTCTCGCGGGAATTTTCTCTAGATGCCAAGTTTCTTTTCTCTCTTGCCCCTTCAGTGGAAGGCTGATGAAACTTTCAGGATTTAGCCAGGTTGAGCCGCGGACAGTTTCTCACATGATATAATTTATCCAAAACTCAAATTTCTGCAACAAGCAGAAATAAAAAGATACCCGGAAAACACCATGACTGAAACTCTCGCATTGTTCCGTTGATTCTCGCGAGAAACAATCTGAATCTTGGTTCTCGCGGTACTCATCACGAGGAAGAGTAACTAATTGGATTGTTCATTCCGAGCGTGGAACTCCGGCGCGTGACTACAATGGCCCTTCCAATATTCTGCCTGTGGAAAAAAGCTCCCCGGAGATGAACGCCATTGCAGGGGCTCGCGCCGTTCTCTTCTGGTTTGTTCTTCTCGCGGGAAGTGGCTGCCTGAGACAACGTCTCGCGAGATTTTCGTTTCCTCATGACTTGCCTCCTTCCCTCCCAGCTCCTCCACTTCTCGTCTGATCTTCCCTCAATTATCGCGTCTCTTCTTCGCTCCCCTACCAGGTGGTGAGTTCTCGCGTGATTTAACTGGGGCTGAGGCTCAGGGACTGCTGTTAAGATGGCGGCGGCGGGAGGCAACGGGGTACGGCATTGACACCCCCTCCATTTCTTTCCCGGAGCAGGTATCTGTGCAAGCCGGACTGGAGGGGCGCGTGGGGCCCGCCAAGACGGGGGACCACTTGAAGCTGTAGCCGAAGGGAAGAGGGAAGCGGGGTGAGAAAAGGGATGTTTGCTGAGGCGGGACAATGGGCCCTGGCTTTCCCCTGGAGATGAAGCGCGGGGGGGGGGGTGATTGAAGTCGGGAAGTGGTGGTGGTTTTGCCTTAGGTCATCCTTCGGTTGGGAATTGGTTAGCCATTTGCGAAGTGCTTCGCCTCTGTTCCTTTGGAGGTAGGACTTTCCCCTTCTATCTCACTCGCACATCACCCGCAGAAGGAGGCACGTGAGTCCCGGAGAGGGGTCTTGATGAGACTTCGGCCTTTCTCTTCCCCCCCCCTCCCCGCCCCACCTCTCCTTTTAGGTATAAACGCGACACACTCGACTAAGGAAGCGAGGCGGCCAACGCGTTAGCCTTTTGAGAACCCAGCCCGCGTACTTCGTTCAGGGTCCCACCTCGACCCAGGCAAATGGGTTAATCATATATTAAATATATATATAGTTGAAGTAATACCATGGATTGAAACCATTGCGCTATTTCGTGTCAGTCTATTGCAGTGGGTTCGTGAAAGATGCGGGTTGGGGGGAGACTATTGGGAGCTATTCTTACATTAATATACAAAATATATTTGGTATGTATATATAGATATAGATATAGATAGATATATATAACTGAGGATGAAATTATATATATATATATATTTCAACCTTATAGTTTTCTTAAGAGTCTGGTTTCACAGTCCTTAGATGTGTTTCTTGATTTCCCCCCCCCCTTTGTATTAGCTTTCCTTAAAAGGGTGTAGAATTATGTTCTCTTAGTATTTGGGGGGGGGGGAATGTATGTAGTAAAAGGATGCCTTTGTGTATAGGTATACTTTTGTAAGCCTGCTGTGAAATATCTATCTTTGTTCTAAATATGTCTCCAAATTGATTCCAAAGTGATTTTTTACAATCTGATCTTTCCTTCATAATAGATTGTGGTACACTTTGTTTATTCTAAGTAGCAAACTCAAACATTTCTTGGGTAACCCATCATCATAAATTTCTCTGACTTTTTGTAAGGTATGTTAGATAGAGAACTGTGTCTCAAATTGGTTACATATATATGCTTTTCTAACTCTTCAGTTAGAGAAAACCAAAGCTGAACAACTTTTATGCTCTGGTTGTAGCATATTAAAATGAAAAGCAAGGTGGGAAAATGCACCATTAATTTACTGGCAGTTTTCTTAGCTAGATATTTTTTGTGTACATGGCTGTTTAATTACTCATTTTTGCTGGGATATTTAAGATAACTTTATTTCTCCAAAGTCTGGCTTTTTAGATTAAAGACAAGAATGGAAAAAGAGTTGATAAACTTAACTTCTTAAAAATGTTACCTTAGTATTGTAGAAATAAATATTAATTCTGAAAGCTTGTTTTGGCATTTTTGTTAGGTCTCCATTGTATAAAATCTTGTTGGGTACAAGAAATGATGAAGCAATGTGCTGAGTCTAGCATTTCTTAGTCTGCCCTGTTTGTGTTGGCTAGAAGAATGTTGGATGCTTATTCTGTATTTGATGGTAAACAAAATAATTATATATGAGATGATTGCCATGATTTATGGGCTACTTAGTGAACTCAACAGGACTTGAGAGCCAGTGTTTTGTAGCGGTCAAGGTACTGGATTAGATAGAAGTGGAGAGACCCAGGCTCTACGGCACTCTAAGCCATGGAGGTTCACAGTCTCATCTCAGTCTACCTTATAGGATTGTTGTGGGGGAAAATAAGAGGAAGGGTTTTAGCTTCTGTACATAAAGGTAAGATGTAAGTGTATTAAATATTTTGATTATATTGTGAAACAGAGTTGGGATCTAAAAGGAATTTAAAATCTAAGGGGGTAGGTTAAGAAAGACAAATCATTTGTAATATAGTAGCTAGAATGAAAACCTTTTTAGAAAATACATGTTCTTTAAACATAATATGCATGAAGCCAGAATTTATATATCTATATTTATTGCAGGCCTTGAATAATCTGACATAAGTGGATTAGACTGACTGAGAAACCAAGAAGTATTACCTTGGTCTGGCTACGGTAAGGCAAAGGTGGCAGAGAAGTGACTTGAATATCAGAACAGGCCAAGTATGGATTGGCTGTGATTCCAGGTTAGTACAGAAATTTCTGTTCGGCAATGCTTATTTTCCTTCAAAACAATGATTCCATGAAATATCCCAAAGTTATTAATTGATTTTCAGGCAATGACTGTTGGTTAAGTGTTTTTGACCCTTACCTGTTTGTGTGCATCTGTCACTGTTTATTTCTTGTGTGTATGTGGGTGGGGAAGGGCGGAGGGGGGAGGGAAAGGGCAGAGGGGGGGGAATGGCTTCCTATAGCAAGGTGTTTATAACAGATGGACAATTTTCATAATTCCTGACCATTTTTTTTTTTAATTTGATTTATATGCCGCCCTTCTCCGAAGACTCAGGGCGGCTTACAATGTGCTCAGCAATAGCAATAGCCTTCATCCTTTTGTATATTTATACAAAGTCAGCTTTGTATAAAGCTGACCATTAGGATAGTCTTAGCATCTGAAGTGCTAAGACTATCTGCTGTAAATGATTTTTTCCCCTACATCAGCAAGCTCTGTACAGCGTTAGGGCTTGGATATCTGGGAGACTGTTCGTCTCCAATTGTTTCTTCCTACCCGGTAAGTTACAACAGAATGGGTACATTCCAGGTCCCCCTGTATTAAGCATTGTCATCTCATGGGACCTAGGAAGTGTGCCTTCTCTGTTATGGCTCCCAGCCTTTGGAACAGCATCCTTCAAGAGATAAGGATGGTGCCCTCTCTCCTGGTGTTTTGGAAAGCTTTTGAAAATTTGGCTTTGGTCCCAGGCCTGAGGTTGATGCTCATTTGTTCAATGGCCCTTCTTTGACTCTATTGCATTATTTTAGTCTAGATAGTCTAGTTGATTCAATTCTTTAACTGCTTTTGTTTTCACTAGTTTTCTATGCCATTCAGAGTCCACTAAAGTTGGACAGTCAATACATAATAATTGAGGCTATCATCATATATCAATCTTTACATTTCTAAATTCTGTAGGATACTGGCTAATATATAAAATTTTTCATTTCTATCTTGGCTATGGCACAAAAACCTTGACTAATACCATTAAGAAATTAGGGTTGTATTTGAATTTCAAATCCTGTATCTCTCATTTAATATTTACAATATTGAGGTGATACTGAATTTTCCCTGCCGCTCCTGTTTGGAAATATTGGGTTATAATTATATTTGATTTTTTTTAAATAAGCTACTTGAAAACAATAGTTGGATTTTTGAAGCTTTGCAGTTGGATTTTCTTGCTCTTTTTATGTAGTTAACCAATCTTATTTCTACTAAATAAGATATACATATGCAGAACATTATATCCAACTAATAATGACAATTTGCTTTCCACGCTCCATTTTTCAACAGTTATATGTATTAATCCCCTTATGATACTTAAGACATCTGAGAATCAAGGTATTAATAGTTTAAGAACATAACTGCTTTGTTGAATCAGTTCAGGGCTGATTGTATATTGTGAATAGAGACGAGTCATATGCCAATGGATTGCACCATGTGAAAATCATAAGTCATTTTTTATATATTTGTTACATTTCCTCACTGATTTTGTTATATATAATAGTTCTTCAGTTGTCTTTCCTGAAATAAACATATTGACTTCATTAAAAGGTATCTTTTGATACTAAATACCATCCTCAAATCATATATTGTAAAATATATTTTGTTACTTTGCAGTAGTAGTCATACTGTATGCTTAAATATTAAAAGTGTTGTGTGTTTCTATATGAATGCTAATAGAGAAGCAAGGATGGAAGTTTAGACAAAGCTACTTTATTTTGTAGTTTATACAGGTGCCCATCTCACATATATGATTGGGCCATGTACAAAGCTAAAAAGATAAAAAATAATGCAAGAAAATCACAAAACCATAATATTAAAAATAATTCAAATATATAAAAAGAATAGGAACCATTAAAAGCTATTTTAAAAAGTCATGATCTGTGGGAGAGCTCAGTTTCTATAGCAATACAGCCACTATCCATGCTCCATACCCATGTTGCTGGCCAGATGGCAGAGCCATGGTTTTTTGGCCCTTCCAGAAGGCCAGCAAGGTCAAGGGGGCAAACTCTTCTCAGGTGGAATGATCTTCCAAAGGTGGGTGCCACAGGAGAAAAGGTTCTCTTCCTGGGTCCTGTCAAGATGACATTTTTGTCATGGACTAGGACCCACAACATACTCCTCTTGCTGGACCAATGTGACAGATTGATGTGATTGGACAGGCAGTATCTCAAAATAGTAGTAAATTTCTGACCTCATGATAAAAGTATGATACAAATCAGACTTCTAAGTTCATAACTCAATTTTAGGTACCTTATGAAGTACAATATATATATTCATCAAAGAAGATACAGAATATTACTATTTTACTAAATGGAAAATTTTTATAATTTTGTATCTTATCAGCAATCATGGGGCTAAAATTAGAACAAATTAAGGCTATTGGATAATGTATCATTTTCAGAAAAAATTGCAAAGCCCCAATTTATCAAACTGAAGAGAGACAATAGTATAAAAACTAATTACTCTAACATAATATGTATGTTTTTTTCCCAGCATTTTATTCTTGTGCATAAAAGTAACAGTATCTATGTCCACCCTTGAGGTACTCCCCATTTGAAGTGTATGAATAGGAGCTCATAATAAAAACCCTGCTCTTGCTTTGAAAGAACAAATATAATATCCTAAATTTCTGACCTGTAGCTATCAGTTCACTTAGGGCTACATACTGCATCATTTAATTTGCTGGTGTTTGTCAATTTCACCCTAGGATATGTTCAGTGGGTATAATACTATTCAAGAGTGTTTAGAAATGGTTTATTTGATCACCTGTAAGCATTAAAACAAATAAGCCTATAGTGATGTCTGGCATTCAGTTTTGTATCTTGAATAATAAATTTATTAAAATGAATAGATATTTCACCACTGCAAAACAGTAACACCTTCTGTCTCAATTTTACTCCTGTAACTAAAAAGATAGTTTTCCTTTCTGCTTATCTAACAGATGTGTAATCTATATAGGCCCCTAATAACTGCTTACAAATCTTGAATATTTTGCCTCATACTTTTCATGCAATGTATTTGTCATATTTCAAGCTAGAAATAGGCTACATGGTGGGATACTTTATCCTGTGTTCCCAAAATAGCATGCTAACTTCCCTGAGTTCCCATCTATATTACAATGGCATTTTCTAAAAATTTCAAAGCTTAATGCTTCTTTCTTGCTTCCTATTACAAAATATTTTAATAATAGAAATAATATCCAGTGCAGGAAGCAGCATTTCTACTGTAAATATAAATATTGGCCTTTCTGTAATTTCAGTGAGGGAATTAATTTGGCTTTTGTATATTTAATGAATCCTGCATTCAAGTAAACTACATAAATGGTTATTTGGCTTGTAAATATCACTGTCAGAGGCAATCCTTACTCTGAGACTTTTAATTTGATGTGTCATAACAGTAGAGTTGCTAAAACCTGATATACTTGTTGACCAGCTTAACACATTTGGTTGTCTGAGTGACTTGCAAACTCACAAACAAATGTTCAGAGTGAGAAGATTAGCTCAGACAACTTTTTGAAGTACCCTTGTAATAAGTTCACCATTTTCCATTGTTTTGATATGATTAAATATAAATCTTCATTTATGGAAAAAAATTCAAAATCAGTTGAAGCATGTAATAACATCTAGCCACTCAGAATTAACATTGCTGTTATGCTATCCTGTACAGTCATATTCAAACAGCTTGAGATTGATTTCAAAGATAATTTGTCTTTCTGTTTTGTGTGTTCCTCCAAGCCTAGAAGAGTTAGGTATTTGTATTGCAATTGTATTTGCATCAAGAATCTGATGTTTGGTAGTGGTTTGATCTGAAAAACTCTTACCTTTCAGGAATTGTAATTCCACAGTAATTCTAACCTTTTGAATTAAAAAAAAGAGAGAATTAGAGATTCATCTAATTGGAACAGTGTTATTTAAAAACTCAGTTGTAGATTAATAGAGTAATCATTTTTCAAACACAGTCTGTTCTGAAAGTCCACGTGGTTTCCATAGTTCTCATAAAAGAACACAGAAACCCCTAGAAGACAGCTTGTCTGTTTATCCATTAGTTAGTTACTCAATGTGTTTTAGGCTGCACTTGTGGGGCAGTACTAATACTCTGAAAACCTAGTTAGTCCTCAGCATAGTTGAATGTACTGCCAAGTCTTTTGCAGTGTATTTAGTTTCTATTTAGGGATTCCTTGGAAGGAAGAACAAATCTAAAAAGTGACTCCTGAAAATAGACATCTTTGAAATGGCAAGAGCTTTTTAATATTATAATTATATAGAATTTAAAGAATCCACAATTTGAATACACATCAGTTTGTTTGTTTGAATGAATGAATAAGCAGGCTGCTTATGTTAAACATTTATACTTCTGGATGCTTCATACGATTGGACTATGTTCATGAAGAATAGTATAGCACATGGTAAATAAATTTAGCCTCTTAGTGTTCTGCTCTGAAATCTTTATAACTCTTGCTACTATTTGCTTGCTTCTGTAACTGAGCTACTACAGTGAAGATGTTAAAGTGCTGGAAGCATACTTGTCTATCTTGCAGTTGTGACTTGGTGCCTGTCAAACAATATTTATGGGGATTTGATGTGTCATGTTGCAAAAATGAAATTTAAACACCAAATAGTTACAGTGACTAAGCAGGTCACTTTATATGTGCCTGAGAGAAAATCTGACAAGACACACTGGTCTTTTGGGATTTCCAGTGTTGGTGCTGTATCCTTATCTGACTAGCTTTGACCCTTCAAGGATGAATGTGTGCTTTTGTTTTATTTTTCATTTAGATAGATAAATGTTAAAATATAATGAAGAAAAAACTTGGAGTTTATTTCTCTTGAGCTATAAGGAGGCAATGGATGTATTCAATTTAATATGAAAGTTTGTATTTTGTCTATTCTTCCTGGAGTTATCCAATTTTATTCATTGAAATAATGAATAATATTTTTGCCTAGTTTTTCATCTTCAGTGGGTTTCCAATACTGG